CCGTGTGACTTCATTCACCAAAGATAAAGACAAGGACAGCCTGCAGATCCAATCAGCAAGGGAATAGGCTTCGAATCAAGGGGGACATTCTTTGGAATGAAAGGAAGCCTCGTGCGGGCGGAGAATCGGCCGAGCCGCAGAAAAGCAGAGCGGAGAGCCGGAGGGACTGGACCATACAGTACCGGGTTTACGAAGGATACTATACACTTACCACGCCTCCGCGGTGCCCGCCCGCGTCCACATCGCGACGCGATTAGATGAAGCGTCTTTTTTCTCCGGGTTGGGGAATCGTTCCCACATCACACCGGATCTCCTGCTCACGTCCGCCTCGCCATTTTACTTAGGCCACGGCCCACGTCTTTCCTTTTCTTTTCTACCTACTTTTCACTCATTCCTCTTGCTCTCCCTCCCCGTCCTCCTATGCTGTTCACCCGGCTTACGGCTATTTACCATGTCTGATCCGGAGCCCTCTTCTGCACCATGCTCCTCCTCGCCGCCCTCAACCCAGGCGTCTGACTCTACTGCTGCCCTCAATTACGCCTTCCTAGTACACTCCCAAAAGACCTTAACTCAGAACCTTCCTCCACGCGTCGACAATAAATTGCTGGCACGGCAAAAGCGGCGTCGGACTAGGTATGCACGGAAACCAATTCCAGTCCTCATTGGCCCAATGGGTCTCGCTGCCAGTAGATCGCTAACACGTCACTGCTGTGGCCGTATAGCCCCGAAGACCACGCAATCCTTGAAGCCGAGTATCAACGGAACCCGAAGCCAGACAAAACGGCCCGAGCCAGTATAGTCAGTCGCGTCTCGTTGGGCGAGAAGGAAGTGCAAGTATGTCTGCAATATCCATGTAATACCTACACCTGATGTGCAATCTAATGTGTCTGAAAATCAGATCTGGTTCCAAAATCGTCGTCAAAATGATCGCCGGAAATCGAAACCATTGCAACCTCATGAGCTTCTCGCGCCTCGGTCGGACGTGTCCGACGCGTCAAAACGGGTAGCCGATGACAACCTTCCGACGAAGCCAGGATCTTCGAGCGGGACAGAGCAATCAGAGGGCAACTGCCAGGACAGGAACGTTGCTACACAATCACCCGACCATGCGTCTTTTGAATCGGACGTGGTGCATGGAGACAATAATGAGCTGGAGCAGTCAGGGTTAAGCTCTCAAACCAGCCTGGCTACTGAAGCTGTGGAGGATTCGCAGAGAGCTTCAGACGAGACGATGCCGGAACAACAACCGCCCCCGGTGCACGATGAAACTCATCTCGATGATTCCAACCCAGCTTCTGTTAAGAGGAAACGATCATTTTCTGAGACCCGTGGCAATCGGCCGTTTATGCAGGGAACATCAACACCTATGAAGTCTCCTCCATCCTTGCGGATATCGCTCTCGTTTGACGGAGAAGCTATGGTACGCAAAGAAGACGAGCTCACGCCATCTCCTCCGAAAGGACGAAATGCCCTGCGGATCGCCATGTCCTCTGATGGAAAAGCCGTGATCCGTGCTGATGGCGAGCCGTCTCCGTCAAAGAACCGCATTTCTATGTTCTCAGCGCGTAAGCCCAGGCTTGCAGGGCTTCGAAGGAGCAACAGTGCCGCGGCATTTAGTACGCCACGTGGTGGTTCCATGGAGACTGAAAAGTTGTTTGGAAGATCAAGAGATCCTCGCAACTGGGAATCGTTCTTTGACACCGATGCAAGAAGTGCACTTTCTACTCCGACCAGCTCCCAAAGCGCACCGAACGCTGGCTCTCCCGCTTTGTTCCGCGCACGTGGTCAGCGTTCACTAACGAGGAGCATGTCGGCAAGGCATAGCAATGCCTTCAATTCTTCGGAATATCTTAATACCCCTGTTCCTAAGCCGACTGGCGACAAAAGACGGAAGATCTCCCGCACGGTCTCCTCATTGGGCCGGCTGGAGACAGGCCGTGCGACCCTTGGTGATAAACTGTCTAACTCGAAGACGATATCGACAAAAGACGATGACCTGGAGTTACAGTGGGGTGACTCTGATAAGGAGAACTGGATACCAGGCACACGAGTCTCCCATGTTCGCCGGCGGACCACTTCGCATCATCACTCGCGGCGTTCAATACTTAGAGAGGCCAACAGCAGGGATGCCAAAGCCAACAGGGATCTGGCATCAGGCGGAAGATACTCACGGGTGTCCCACCCGCACCAACGAGTGAGCGGGGTAATCGACAAGGATGTGCCTGAGATGGACGCCGAGGTGTCGGCTTTCATGAATGGCGGGGGAGGTGCAAGTCAGGAAGAAGACCTTGACTGCATTCAAGGCTTGTTGTCTCTGAGCCAAGGGGCATGGAGATGAGATAAGCTTCCCCTTGTGTCCTTGCGATATGATCACCATTTCCTTTGTTTATTTCTTTTCATCATTCCCCCTTTGTTTCATATCCATTTCTTTCCTTTGTAATGTCAATATTGGAGGTTACAGGCCAGCAAGCGGGTGATTGTATGTATGATTGTGAGATGATTGCTTTACGTTCCCAAGGGTGCAGCTCACAGGTTTGCTCCAGGCAGCTGCAACCATGGGTCCGGACTTGATGACGAAACCCTGTGCCACGCCACAGATGATATCCAAGTGCTATTACAGCCGAATAGCCTAATACAACAAAACAATGGAAGCAGATGATAGAGAATATTTGACTTGCTTGATACGTAAGCGCCTGCGATGGGCTGATCCGGATAGCCAGGGCGAGGCGGGGGTGAAGGGGAGAAATGTAGGGAGTAGATAGTTGGGTGGGACAGGTGGACTGCAGAAGATGGCTGTGGGCGGGTTCTGCAAGCACGTGGCTTCCCGCTGACATATAACCGCCGGGTCTCGTCCGTCTCTCTGATAACTAGGAAGTATTTGCCTCGCTGTCTTTCTCTCCGCCACCCGCGGTTGGATGCTTCAGGGTTTCGTCTCTGTGTTTTGTAGACTTAGGCGGAATTGCTTTTATCCCCTGGTAGGTTGCTTCAATCTATCTCTCAACTATTCCGGGTGTAGGCTTTATCAAGTCTGGCCAGGGACCATGTCAAGTAGTAACGGCTGCATTCTGCACCGGCTTATCTCCCCATATTATGAGTGGATTGAGCAGCTGCTGACTTTATGTAGCACAACGGGCGGTTACTGCATACAATCAGCTCCAAGGAAGATCAATCATTGTTTCACTCTCGGAAGACAAGCTTTTTCTTACATATGACTATCGCAATGGGCAGGAGGCCCAACGTGGCTGTCATCGGAGCTGGTCTATCAGGCTTGAGATGCGCTGACATTCTTATCCAGAACGGTGCCCGCGTGACACTATTTGAAGCTAGAGACAGAGTCGGTGGTCGGGTGCGTATGAGAAGCATCTATAGTCAGAGTCAGCGGTTCACTAACCTCCAGCAGGTACACCAGCAGAAGATTCACGAACATCTTATAGACTTGTAGTACTCTCTGCTTCTTCCCGCTGGCTATGATTATGTTCTTTGGCGTCGATGCTGACTCTTATCAGGGGTCCGAACTGGATACATGGCACCGGAAAGAACCCGATTGTCGCAATCTCAGAAGCAACGGAGACAGTGCTGGAAGACTTCGAGGGGAACCAGGCTTTGATCTCCACAGAAGGCAAGGCAATCGACGATGCACTAGCCGCTAAAATATCAGCGGTACTGTGGACGACAATTGAGAAGGCCTTCGAGTATAGCAACACACATAAAGAAATAATCCCACCCGAACGAAGCCTGCTTGACTTTTTCCGCGAGGAGGTTGAGAAGACAGATCTCAGCACCGCTGAGAAGGAACTTTGCATCGAATCCTGCAGGCTATGGGGAGCGTACGTCGGTGATCCCATTGAAAGGCAGAGCCTAAAGTTCTTCTGTCTCGAGGAGTGCATAGATGGGAGTGAGTACCCCTCACCACATGATGATGACGCTCAGCTAAACTACGTCAATGGCAGATAACTTCTTTGTGGCCTCGACATACAAGAACATTCTCAAGTATGTCTCAAAGAATGCTCTTCAACGCGCAGATATCCGCTTCAATCAGCCTATTGTCCAAATTGATTCCGAATCCCGGAAAGCCATGGGCTCCCCAAGCAAGGTGAATCTCACAACAGCATCAGGAGAGACCTTCCAGTTCGACGAAGTAGTAGTCACCTGCCCACTCGGCTGGCTCAAACGCAACAAACAAGCCTTTACCCCAGACCTTCCCCCTCGTCTAAACCAAGCTATCGACAGCATCTCCTACGGCAGACTAGAAAAAGTCTACGTCACATTTCCCCGCGCATACTGGCACGCCGGCCCCGAAGATCCCAAGACCGCCGACATCCTTAAAACCAACCTAGAATACAGCAGCTTTGAGAACCCCACCTTCGCCCAATTTCTCAATCCAGGGTACACCAAAAGCCCGAACGACATCCTCTGGAACCAAGAATGCATCTCACTCGCCGCTCTCCCCTCCTCCTGCGCACATCCCACCCTCCTCTTCTACATTTTCGGCCCCTGCTCCACATACATTGTTTCCAAGCTCAAAGGCCTCGACCCCTCCTCCAAAGAATACTTTAACTTCCTCAACGACTTTCTCCACCCCTTCTACTCCCGCCTATACGGCTACTCAGACTCATCTCCGGACTGCAATCCAATCGCCTTCGCAGCAACCCAGTGGCAGAACGACCCCTACGCAGGTAACGGCTCCTACTGCAATTTCCAGGTCGGCCTTACCCAGGGAGATCGAGATATCGAGGTCCTGCGCGCAGGCATGGGCGTAGATCGTGGAGTCTGGTTTGCAGGCGAACATACAGCGCCATTCGTGGCACTGGGTACCACGACCGGTGCGTATTGGAGTGGTGAGCGCGCCGCAGGCCAAATTTGTAATTTATATGGGTTGGGTAGGCTTGGGATCGGGTTGGAGAGGGATGATTCGTTGCCTTCTGCTACGCCTAAGGGGCTTTTATGATGTGAGCCTTCCATCTTTTTACTACTATTCACCTGTTTAGGTTGAGTTAGTTGGGGGGTTTTTTTTTGAGTTGCTTTATTGCTTGGATGATTGCTTTGCTATGTTCCTTTTTTTCTTTTGCTACTCATTGTTTGACATATATGCACATATATACGGCGGTATTTGGAGAGAAGTGCTACACGCGATTTTGTGTGCTTGCTGTACAGCCTTAGATATGTATGGATTGCAGTTATAGCCAGCTAACAGTTATTTACACCCCGCACACCGGCCGCCGGCCAGCAAACAAACAGATAGACGCGGTGAATCTCAGATTCATAGTACATGAATGACACACAAAGCCGCCCCACGCACAAGTGCAATAGACGAACAGAGTAACACGAGAGACAAAGATAACAGGGGAATCACATATTGCTCTTCAATCAATCAATCAACCAACTGTTACCTGACGATAAACTGAACAGTAGCGTGCAAGGTTAAGAAGACAACAATAAGCGAAACGCCCCCAAATAGGTAGAACTGAAAACAAAGTACCATGCGCCACGCTGGAAAAACAACCCAGATAGGATAAGAAACGAAACTCGACTAGTAGAGCATCCACGGACCTGCGCGATTACCGAACTCTGCGGCCTTCCTGGATGAGAATGGTGGGGTTGACCGCTGAAGATAAAGACCCGAAACGATGGGAGATGTTGGGTATTTTCGAACTGAGCGCTTGATACATAGAGAAAAAGAAGGAGCAAGCAAGGCTAACGAGATGTTAAGGGCTGAGCGCCATTTGTCCCGAGGCAGCTGGAGTTTGTTTGCCTTGCGTTGGATGGTAATGTTTGGGAAGCGGGCAGACGCGTGCGTGTCGGGCATATGTGATTGTTGATCATTTTAGTATGGACGAGTCACCGGCCAGCTTGGTCCGAGTGGTGCGTAGTATAGAGATGTCCACGAAACAGACTAATGATCGTAGGAAGAACTCGATGCTGGCTTTGCATCGCATTCAATCTTCCCAGATCGTTTCCAGGTCCAGGTCCTGTCGACGTTCTGCTCCACAGACACTCCAACGTTTCCGTTTGTCAGCTCGAGGTCCGTAGCCAACCGATCCCGCCCGCATTGTCATCAGTCCGCTAGAAGGGCCAGAAGCATCCGATGCCCCACGCCTTCGATTGCCGTTGCTGGCCGCTTCTGCTTCATCGGCCTTGTCTGCTGCAGCTTTCAGAGCCGCGATCCGGTCCGCCTCGATGGCAGCGGCTTCAGCGTCGGGAATGTCAGGTATAGTTTCCAACGACGAAATACTCGGGCTACGGGATCGCAGGCTTGTCGGGGTTGAGGGTATAGATGAGGTTGAAGAGGCCGAATAACCGGGGTAGGATTCGTTGTACCTCATGCTGTAGATCACGGGAGAGGAATGACCGGAAGGACTGCCCATAGAGTGAACGGACGAGCTAGGGCTCTGGAAGTGAAGGGGGGACGACGGTCGGCGACGGTTGACACGCGGTAGAGTGTGAGAGAAAACCGGCGAGGTAGGGTGATAGTCGATATGAGACGGAGAGGAAACAAGATTGGTATCTAGCTCCGCATGTTCCGAGATAGTCTCCGAGATATTCAGGGGCACCATTCTGGACTCTAGGCCATCGCCTGTGGTGACCTGCAACGGCAGATAGCGCTTGGCCGCCGGATCACCCGCATTTGTTGAAGCACCGCGACCGTTGACGAATATATATCTGCCCCGTGAGTCCAGCCCTGGGGACGAATGGGCGCGCGTCATCGGAGGTAGACCGGGGACTTCAACCATCGATCGTGACCGAATATGGGAACGGGCAAAAGGAAGGCGAGTCGGAGTTTGGACCGGCGGATCAGGCGTGAGCGACAAAGTGATCATGACGTTATCGTCGCATTTTGCCTCGCGAGGTTGCTCTGCGGCAGGACCGGACGATGTCGAGTCAAATGAATCGGACGAACCAACGGGGCTTGGAGGAAGCATTATCCCCTCGGGGGGTGGGTGTGACGCTTCCATGTCTGTCTGCAACCAGGGAGTCGATTTAAACGGGCCTCATGCTGGTGGGCCAACGGCGAATACTCTGCGAGTCACCACAGTCGAGTTGAACCAGGGAGTGTTACCGTCCCGAATCCAAGTCGAATTTGGATTTGGCCTGGGGGGGCGGTAGGAGTGGAGAGGTCGCAGCTCAGGGGGTGGAACACGAACTTTGGGATTGGGGGGGAAGGGAACACAGGAATAAATTTGCCCTTTGCACTATTCCTATCCGGACACAGCCGGTGTGCTTTTTTGAAACCCAAACCAAGAACGTGGGAGAAATGCGATAGGAAGGCAGAAGAGGGAGGGAGGGAAGGAAAGTTGAGTGGTGAGGTCAAGAAGAGATGGAAAGGGAAAGCAAGCGCTGGAGATGGATCGGGAAAACGAAAAGAAAGAAAGTAAGGGAAGACACGAGGCGCTGCTCAGGCCCACCCGCCGCCACCTGACTTGCCTTCCCTCCCTCTTCTGGCTTCTTATTCCTTATTCTTCCCTCCGCCCTCCACCCATCGTTCAGCTTCCCTCATGGTCTCTCACATGATGATCATCGGAGCTCATTCATGGCTCTGTTGATCGTCATGATTCGATGAAGCTTGTGTCACTAATGCTGGCAGGTGCATCTGTTTACTGGACCTCCCTCAGTTTTCGGCAATCTCCGTCGGTCTAAATCCGCAGTTGAAGCACAAAAACATTTCTACATCAGACCAGTTGACTGCAATTCGAACAGTATACTTCTACAGAGTATGTTTCGCCTTATCTCGCTTGATCCGACAACAATGTAATGGGAGAAAATCTCCGATACGAAAGATGCAGACCTGAATTGGAAGTCTGGGCCGGCCTAGACATCCCACATGCTTCCAGAACCACCACACTAATGTAATGCATGCTGCACATCTTCAAAAGGGCGCTGGATTTGCTCAGCCACTTGGCCCATTCTTCTTTCGGTCTCTCCGTCAGCTGTAAGCATGTGGTTGTCAACCGATCGCATCGTATCGCATCCCTGCTTCATAGAGCATTCAGGCACCCCGGGATCCGGGCGATAGTGGCCTGACGTTTCGCTCCAACCCGACACCCTAGCTTTGGATGATCGTCACGGAAGTGTCCGGATAGCCATGAGGCTCACCAGTCAGGCCCCATAAGCGCATACTGGTTAATTATTGCGATCTCCCCGGAGAAGTAGAGCGAGAAGCACGCAATCGTCCTTCCTTTGTCACTATCGATTCGTGATTGTTCTCTGCGCAACCCCTTATTACGAAGAGCCACGAGGACTTGAGAGGGCCATGTGGCTTAATGTGCTGGATATCCGTCTCAACTGAATGAGTCGTTTGATTGCCAATCAATATGGTTATCAAGAATGGCCATGTCATCTCCAGTCCTCTTCTTGTTACTATATTGACCTTCTGCGCCTCTTGCTTATATACCTTCAGTTATATTCAGCTGACCAGACAATATCATCATCCCGCCAACCTCTTGCGCTCTATCTAACCGGATACAGAATCAAGGATCTTTTTATACTATTACAGGTGTTGATGAACAAAGCTTGGTGTTGGTCAAGCGGCCGTCGCACAGAAACGTACTCGGGTGGCTGGCTACCCGAAGAGCTACCGATAAACACGTCGTGATGTTCATTCTCTGCTTGCAGTAGTATATATGGTCATCGCAGTGCCTTGCTTCTTGAAAACAAGGGTCCTGCAGACCATCTAGCCCTACTTCAGTAAATGGCCTGTGCCCCTATTATGGAATAAACTTGAATCAGCGAATATTCTTCAAAAATCTTCGAGAATGTTATCGAGATTCTATCTCTCCTTTGAAGGCCAGACTATCATCATCAGAGTCCACAGGTTATAGTGTTGTGTCTCACTTGGGCTGCTTACAAGGAGGAGCATGCCGTTCCATCTACTATGACGATGACGATGACACGGAGATTCTGAGCAATGCTAGTGGTGATGATAACATTAATAGTAATGGACGACCAAAGTCAAGGGTGGTGATGCTCTACGCGGCATGTTATGTCGCATTCGCCATCCTGTCATTCTTCTCCGCCGCTTATTACTTTTTGTGCTGGATGCCGTGTATGTGTATCACACATCATTCCCATGATTGGGGATTTTTTGTTTGGTTTCTTCACACTCTTAACTCTACGGTTACTAATCATGTCGGGTTTGTGTGCAGATGAACCGTCTAACAGTAATCCGTTTCCGGGCCGTCATCGGTGAATGCATTAATATCCCTACCTATCTATTTACACAATTGATAAAGGGGGATGCGCATATCGGGCTGATACACGGAACAATGGACGACACGGGAATCTTACAGTTGAAGACATGATCGATCCTACATTACACCTGGCTGGAAGACGCCCGGAGTAGTAGATTATTCAACACCGGCTTTTATACATGTTTCTCTCAGGAGAGAGAGAAAGGATTGATGTACATACCATTCTTAAATATAATGCACAAAGAAGCAGATACAACAAGTACCTAAATGGCCACTTATAATTCACAACCACCTAACAGAAGCACAAAACAAGTTTTATCGAGACCCCTAGTGGGGTTTATGGATCTTCCTCTTCTGCGTCCGACTACCGCTCTTCACCAAAATAAAGTACATACATGATGTTGGGGTAGAAGAGAGTAATGGGACATGGTATCCTTTCCCTTCAGCCGTGATAAGGAAGCCGAACCATCATAACAGCATTGGAACTCCAATATGTACAAAGATTTGAGGCAAACATTTCATTGAGGAAATATTATATGTCCATTTCACAACTGGTATCAATCCTTTAAGTACATACAAAATAGAAATATTTACACCATCCTGCATCACACAAGCCACTGACGAGTGTCCCTTTTGACCCATGATCTGTTCCGTTTTATTCCAACCAAGGTAGCAGAAATGGAGACCGCGCAGAAGAGGGCGATGTTCTCCAGTAGTCGGCAGCAGTCGCAGCTTCCCACTCACCTAGAAAATCAGCAACCCCAGCATCAATCACCTCGCCTGCCCGGGCCTTCTCCAGCCAAACTCCCCATGGTAGTTGTAGATAAGCTGCTTGATCAGACCCTTCCATGAATTCCCTGAGCTCACTAGCCTTGAAGCGTGTCTCACCGCAGACATTCATGTAGCGAATTTGGCAAGGTAAGCCGTCATTCTCCTTCGATGCCTCATTGAGAGCTGACGGTAAGGCCGTGGAACGAGTGGTGGTGATATTCCGGACTAAGGATTCGACAGCACCGTTCAAACCGATCAGGTCGATATAACCTCTCCAATCTCGAGTATCAGGCACTGCGTGCAGGAACCGACTCACATCCAAGATTGCGCCGATGATATTCGTATTCCCCGCAGAAGCATCGGACAGTGATTCATGGGGGCTGCTGGCGGTGGTGATACTAGTGGGACGATAGATGTGCACATCTGGCATGAGATCCGAGAACCGGGCACAGGCTCGCTCGAGGAATACCTCGCTGGCCCATTTGCTAGCTACGTAGCCCGACACCAACGGATTGTGACCATCATTGTTGAATGATGGCGGGGGAAATCCCGCCACTGATGCGGCGGAAAACGTATCACGCTCCGAAAGGCTGGTCACACTGGCCGTGGAAATATAATGAAAAGGGATACGGCGCGCGAGACAGAGAGAGAACAAGTACTTGGTTGACAGGACATTAGCCTTTCGTAGAGCAGCATAGGGTTTGACGAAGGAAACATCGGCCCCATTGTGAATGACACAGTCCACGGTGCGTGTCAGTTTGTCGACATCCACAGCATTGAGCCCACATGTTGGGTCCGATAGATCGCCACTGTAGAGACAAATCTTCGAGGATTTGACGGGCAGTTCTTGACGCGGGGAACCGTCGGGAGCAGGCCGTATGGCAATGCAATGAATGCGAGCCACAGACGGAATCTCTACCAGCGCCTCCAAAATTGCCCTTCCGTAATATCCTGTGGCACCCGTCAGAATCACCTCCCGAACAGCTCCATTTGGCTGCGTGGGAAGAGGCTTGATCTGATCCAGGTAGTCAGGAATCGCTGTCTCAGAGTCCCAGTCAATCGCTTTTGAGGAGGCTCTGATCCTGGTGACCACCGTTCCAGCCAACCGAGCCATTTCCCCCAATGTGGACGACTGGAACAACTCAGTGATCGGTATGCTGATACCGGTCACGCGCCGGATTCGTGCCTGAAGTTTTAAAAGCCGTAGTGAATTGCCCCCCAGCTCGAAAAAACTAGTTTCTCGAGTGATTGGTAGCCCAGTTGAGGGCAGATACTCTTTCCACATTTCTAGCAGCTTCCGTTCGATAATTTCGAGCACTGGTTGTTCCGACGAAGACCCGGATTGACCGACGGGAAGCCGACCTAGGGCTTTTCTGTCCACCTTGCCACTTGAAGTCAGAGGAATCCTAGTCACGATACTGACTTGGGCCGGTTTTGCGTGCGGAGGTAGCGCCACAGTATCTAGTAACTGCTTAATGAAAAGGTCAATGTTATCCTCTATCTCTACTGCGCGAGATAGAACTACGAAGCTGACCAGATATAGGTCATCTGGATCACCCTTGGCAATGGTTGCTGCATCGACCAATGCTCCCGCCGACGCTTGGAGGAGAGCATTGGAAATCTCGTCCAACTCCAATCGAATACCTCGCAGTTTTAATTGCGAATCTCCATCAACTCTCCCAAGGTATTCGAGTGATCCATCCTCTCGCAGTCGGCCACGGTCCCCAGTCCGATAAACTCGAACGCCATCTAGTTCGACGAAGCGACCCTCTTCGTCCTTAACGTCCAAATACCCGAGAGCAACGGCAGCACCGGCAATGCAAATCTCACCCGGCCACCCTTGTGGAACGGACTTTAACTGCGAATTTAGAATCGCAATCCCATATGATGACAGCGGTTCCCCGATAGAGACACTCTGGGAATCCCCATCGACGCGTTCGTAATCTATCACCCCCATTGTGCAAGCCATAGTTGTCTCACATGGGCCGTATGCGTTAATCAAGGTCAGGTCCGGAAGCCCAAGGCTAACAAACGCCTGAATGGTGGCCCTGCTCAGCTTCTCTCCAACGCAGAATGCAAATCGCCAGGAGCCAAGCTCGCTCAGCAATTGACCAGCCTCGCCAATCCAGAGGGCATATTCAGAGGGTACTGCTGTGACTACGGAGACATGTTCGCGAAGCATGAGTTCAGCTAGCTGACCGGGCTCTTTAAGGTTGTTGGTGATGACCAATGTCCCACCGTGCAGGAGGGCCAACAGAATTTGGAAAAGCCCGGCATCAAAGCTATGCGAACTATGTTGTAAGACCACTTGCCGGCCAATCGGGAATGCTTGCTCCGTGGCATTGAAGTGGCATCGAAGATTCCGATGGCTTAGAAGAACACCCTTGGGCACCCCAGTCGAACCACTAGTGTGGAGCAAGGCGGCTGGCGAGTTTTCATCTGCATAGTCCTGATGGCCAAGAGTGGTGGGTTGGAGGACCTGGGGGAGTTGAATGACCGGGGCGATATGCGAGGTTTCGAGCTGGCCGAGTGGACCCTTGCACACAATGGCCGCGGGTCGGCTGACGTCGATGATATGAGCTAGGCGCTGATGCCCCTGCATCAAATCCACCGGCATATAGATTGCACCAATCCACCAAATAGCCAGGAGGGTGCACACGGTATCCACCGAAGGTCCACAGGCTACTGCTACTGGCGTACCAAAGCTGACCCCTGCTTCCAGCAGAATTTGCATGATTGAGAGACTTCGGGAGTGCATGGTCTCATACGTAAGACGCATCCCGGAGTCATCTTTGATGGCTAGATCCGCCGGGTATGTAGTTATCGTTTTCCTGATGCGCTTGGTCAGGCATCCTGACCAAGGATGGTCCAACACGGGCCCTTGTTGCAGATGAAGAGAAGGCATCCCAGAAGCTGCAATGCATTCATAGGACTCGAGACGAGACTCTGTCCCCATGGAAAAAGTCTCAGTCAGCTGTGTGTACAGCGACATTAAAATACGAAGGTCTTTCTCATAATAGAGATACTTTTGGGCCTCAAAGTTGAGTAGCATTGTTCCATCTTCATTCTCACGGATCGTGAATACCAAGTCATAGGGTTGTCGAGCGAGCTGTGAGGTCGAATATTTTAGAGTGGATTGGTCAAAACGGATATCCTGGGTGAATTTGGCGATATAGTTCACTGCCACATTGCATTCCGTGGTGTGCATCTGCTCAGCGGACATTGGCTTTTGTGATGCGCTGGGAGAAGCCAGTGCTGCTAAGACTCGAGCTCGAGTATCCTGCAGCAGGTCTGTGAACGTACAACTGCTCTGCGGCTCACAGCACAAAGGCACAACCTCAACCATATGTCCAATTACCTTTTCGAAGCGAGGGTTGTCTCGGTTGGCATTGGTTATCCCAATCATGAACTTGTCGATATCGAGAACTTTCTGTATTAACAATTGTATAGCAGCGACATGAAAATGGAAGGATGTAACACCAGTACGGGAGCTCACAGCTTTGACTTTGGCAGATGTGCCTGCATCCAGCTGCGAACTCACCTGAATCGTCTCATAGCAGGTGTGAACCTGGCGGAAGCTCACCCGGGCAAAAGGGAATAAAGGAAGAGGCGATGCTGTTTCAAGAAGCCTTGAACGTTCAAGGGCGTCGTCCCTTGAAGCGGCTCTCATAAGTGCTTCGTCACAGAATGCACTGTACTGCGAGATGACGGGGGCCAGGAGATCCGGATCTTGATAGGCGGCAGCAAATTCGCGTAGTAATAGTTGCCAACTGACTCCGTCCATGATTAGATGGTGGTAGCCAAATGTCATGATATGATGCTGAAGACTGGTGTGTAAAATAGATATTACCATACTCTGCCCTTTGGCCAGGTCGTACTCGTGACTGTGGACCCGGGAAATCTCAAGGGATGCTTCCAGAGGATCACCGCTAGTCCGCTCCCACCAGCCGATTTGCGAACTTTCTAAAATTGCTCGCCGAGGCATGCCATCGGCAGCTTGAGTGACAAACGCTGTTCGGAGTGATTCGTGCCTCTGCGCAACGTGAATGACCGCGATTTTAAAGCGTTCCATATCCAGATTGCCGTGCAGCTCGTACTGGATGGTGCAATTATACATGGTCGGATCATCCACGGTGGCCAGCATGAAGTACATCTTTTCTTGCTCCACAGACAATGGGAGCAGGTTTCTCAAAGAGAGTGTACTCGAGCTCTGGGGGTCATCCACTGCCTGAGGGGTGAAATCTAGGGTACTGGCAGGTGTGAATTGACTCGCCCGAGATGTCCCCTGATCCGAGCTAGAACCTTCACTTTGATCGGCATAAGATTCTGTCTCCTCCTGAATCTGCTCACTATTACGCGTTGGGGTGGTTACTACAGCCTTTGGCTCATAGCTCACGTTCATGTATGAGGACTCGGCCTGGAAAAAACATTCCGTTGCTTCTCGACATACTAAGGGAACACGTCAGGACTCGTTCATACGGGTCCGGAATGGGGAGAGGCTTACTTTCGATGATAGAAGTACCTCCTAGAAGCTTCAGAACCGAAACGTGAAAGTTCAGCTCCTTATAAAACCACCCTTTGATCTCTGTGCTGAGTAAGGAATCAATTCCCAACTGGGTCAAGGGTTGCGTGATATTGGTGATTGGACCCGGCAACTGCAGGAGTTTTTGCAGCATTGTAATGAACGCTTCCTGAATCCAAGATTCGGCAACGGCCATTTCGACAGGGTTTCTGAGGCGATCTTGGAGGAGTTGAGTTCTTGTTCGGTGCTGCGACTTCGAATCCAGATCTTCCATTACATGAAAGTGCGCAAATCGCGGGTCATCGTACCACTGCGGCCTCGATTGCCCCGGGGGAACATGCAGGCCAGTTGAGAAACATGGCGAGTCCGTGACACCTTCCCATCCTACGCGCATAGCTTCTGCGAAGATGCAGTGGAAGTCCGTCTCCGAAATCGCGAGCAGACCAGCCTTGCGTAGGGTCTTCTCATGAGTCACGTTACGAGTCACCACACCGAGACCCAGGACCATGCCAATATCAACACACGATCCCGCCAGTCCCCGGTGCTGTCGTCGCCTTGCAACCCCTTGCATATACTAGGATAGAGTGAGAATTTGTTTTATAGCAAAGACACGGTGGTAGAGGTCAGACACATACCATATTGGCTACTGAGTAGTTACTTTGTCCCGAATTGCCAATCAGGGTGGCAGTGCTAGACAAGAGGATGAAGAAGTCCAAGCCTGGCTGATTGTATAGCTGATCCAGGTTCTCTGTCCCCTTCACTTTTGGTTCCAAGACCCGAACAAAATCTTCGTAGGACATGTTCACGAACGCACCATCGGCGAGCACCATGGCTCCGTTCACAATGCCGGCGATTGGTGGCATCGCTCGATGAATCTGCGCATGAACGCGCTGCAAATCTTCACGGTCACAGACATCGAGACTCAGGACCAATACTTGGCACCCCTGCTCCTCAAGTTCTTGATACCATCTCGCAGGCTTGGGGGATCGACTGGCGATTGCGAGGTAGCGCACCCCGTGCGCGACCATCCAACGCGCCAAGGAGTGACCCAGTTCACCTGTCATGCCGACCAAGAAGTATGTGGCATCATCGCGGAAGAATGCTCGGGCATCTAGGCGTCGAACTAGCGTCTCCGATCGATACTGCTCGATTGCACAAACTTCGGTGGCCCCGAGTGACTCGATTTCAGTCGCAGGTGGTAGAGAGTTTGCGTGTCCGTTGTACTGACTCCATAGAAATTGCAAGTACTCTTTGTAGCTTCTGCTCAATCCACTTTGGGGTTGCCTTGCATGCGCAGAGAAGAAATGTTCTCTTCCGCGTATGGTACATTTTGACGACAGTGCATTGAGGACACGATCGCACAGTGAGTTTGGCTCCTTTTCTAGGTTGATGAAGAGATTTATGTCAGGTGGAAGAAGATGCTTGATGTTCCGTGTGGCAGTGTATGGATGCCAGTAGGCTATAGATTCGTGCCACAGTGCGATCGATAGGTTCGAAGTAGCGAGTGTTATAGATATGTGCTCTGTTTCCTCCACAGTCGAAACGAGAGCTCGGGCCAACAAGGGTTCGTTGGTGAAGATAACTGTTCTGCCACTTGAGGCAAATTTTTGTATGCGCGCGGAAATATAGAAACCGATTACTGCAGGTAGTACTTTTGGGGCCATATCTTTATCAATATTGCATTGGAGAAGAGACAGTTCCTCAAGGAAGACCAGATCATCCGCAGAGGGTGTAAACGCGAGTACACACTGCTCCAAGTTGCCCAACCGCGCCTTCCCCAAGCAGAGAAAGTAAGATGCATCGTCGTCAACCATCAAGGCACTGGAAGAGCGGCAAAGGACTCGAATAGGTACTGGCTTCTCGAATGGGACGTTGAGCTGCGCAGTGAGCTGAGGTTGATGAGTCGCCGGGATTTGTCGAAACGCGGAATTGAATCGGTCATTCATATCTTTTGCATGCTTGATTCGAGGGATGTAAAGATCGCCGTTTTCCAGTGCCATCTCTAACTCTTGCTTTAGAAGGGTCCGCGTGTCGTCTGACTGTAGCTGAATTCCGCTTATGAATTGGCCAAACAGTGTGGCAAGCTGGGCGGTATCCAGATTGTCGTCTCGATCCACATCCAGAAGGACCACATTCGATGAAGGCAGCTCAGTACGGAGAACGCGGGCAAGTCCAACAGTCATGGAGCTATAGGGATCACCTTGATTGAAACCCCTTGTCACCAAAAATACGTTCCGGGGCTGTTGAAAAAGCTTCTGAAGGGCATCGAAGTGTAAGGGGCTGAAGTCTCGAAAGATGGGAGCTTCAAAGTCGGCCAGACATAGGACATGTTTCGCAACATGCGAGTCGAAGGAAGCAATATCAGTTAAAGAAGGAAGAATGAGTATAGAGTTCTTCCATGGCCTAAGAAGAGGTTGAAGCTCGCATACTACACGCGAACCGAGTGCTGTCTCGCCACCAATTATTAGTATCTTTTCTTCCGAAGAGAGCGGGTCGAGTACGATTGATGGTCGTAGGATCTGGCTCAAGGAGGGCGTCATGGCTTGCGACAGGATTAGGGAATGGCAGTGAGGGTGGGCCATTCCTGAATCATATACCATTGATTGAATGCCAGAATATCCGAGATTTCTCAGCGTCTTCTCCCACGTTGCCTCACTCCTAGCCATCGGCCCCGAGCTATGCCCCACAAGGTTATCAAGGATCAGGCCGGGAAAAAGACCCCTTCCAGTAACAGCTTGAAGGAGGACATATCCACCCGGTCTCAATAATTGTCGGACACTATTCAGCACCTGGTGAGCCTTGTCTGATTCGGGTGACTGACCAAGGTTCGCAATCACGAGGTCAAAGCCCTGCTCACTGTCTCCATTGAGACTGCGCTGGAATGTATCGAAGACGTCGAATCGCACCCGCTCATCGGGGGTGGCTACGCAGGCCTGCGCATGCCTCAACACATCTTCGGACAGGCCTGTAACCACATACGACGCGAAAGAATCTTCCAATGAATCGAGTATCATCCGAACAGCGGATCCCTCATCATCACTGACATGAATCAGTTGCATGATTGTCATCCGAGGGTGTTTATGGGCGATCTGCTTGGCAGTCTGCGCTAGATATTTGCGGATGCGTTGAGGGCCAACGCCTGACTGCCAATAGTCTCGTGAGTGAGACCGGTTTTCGATCCCATTGGTATGATGGTTGTTTCTTCCCGCATGCAGTGCATCTATCAATTGTTCACCAGGCGACGTCGGGCTCGACAACGTGGAACTGGAGACGCAACGTCCTTCAACGTACTGACGGGCTATGCTCTCGTACTCCTCCAGTAACGCAAGATACTCTGACTCAGGAGACACCCGGGATGCCGACATTCCGCATAGAATATCTAGCTCCCAGGTGGTCGTGTGGAACATGTTGCGGTCGTCAGCCTTTGTCAGCGACCCAAGGGCCACGCATGCGAGCCCTTCGATCTGAATTACGCAGTTCCCATCACTGTACACGTCAACGTCTCCAGTGAACGATGCCTGACTTTCCTGAGTCGGGCAATGAAGGTCTGTAATAGTTGTGTCAATACGATATGGCATCGCAACAGGACTACCATCTTCCAATATTGCGGGATTGACTCGGATAGACTGTATCTTCGTCGGCAGATATGTAGTCCGAAGGCTCCTAAACGAATGTCAATGACTCTCATGTTGACTCCAACAAGTAATAATACTTACTCATCCCCTGGCGCTGCCATTCCTAGGAAGAGCGTTTGGAAAGTGGTATCCAGGAATCCCGGGTGTATGATCATGGAGCTGGGGATCGGTGCTATACGAGCGGAAGCTTTCTTCCACCTGCGTTCACAGCTCGTCATTGAGCGGAAGACGCCAGTATACTCCAAACCAATCTCCTGCATGGACAGATAGAACCTGTCAACATCGGCAGCGGGCCACTCTGCTGAGTTTCGCTGGGACGCAGGGAGCGTGGCGATATGGGGATTGCCCAATGTGACCGAGATCTTAGTTTCAAATCGAATGCTGGATTGCTCCGTACCATCTGCCTTTCCCGCGGTGAGAGAGAAATTAAAGGCGGCAGTGGACAGGTCTGGAGAGGACCTGCTATCGTTCCCTGTAGGGGCCAGTGACAGAGTGGAAATCATCTCGGTGCCAATAGAATTATCTTCGATACGGACTCCCCGGTGGATAACAAGCTGCTGTAGCTCAATGAGACGAATCGGTTGGGCCAAAAATGCCATTGCCGCTTCAATGGCCATCACACAGTAACCCGCGGCGGGGAAGACAACTTCCCCGTGCACTTTGTGATCCCGCAGCCACGAGATTTCATGGACATGGAATATGTTGCGCCAGCAGATTTGGCCTTCGGACCGTTCGGTGCATGCACCAAGCAGCTCGTGGGGAGCCGGACGGCTACAGTACTGTTTTGACCGGCGAGACTCCCTCCAGTGTATTGTCTCGTGATCCCACGGGTATGTGGGCAGAGCCTTCATGATCCTGAGTGGTCGAGAGGCAGCCTCGCCGCCCAAGGAAGATGCCAGTTTGGACAGGTTGACCGCAGAGGGGCCGAGTGTTGCCCACACACTAGCCAGACACTGGCCGAGAGCGAGTGTGTCATCTTCACCTCTAGTGAGTGAGCCGTGATAAGGAATCTCATTGTGACCAAAGGCCTTGAGGTTCTGTCCGGTCGGCCCCTTCAAAGCAGGATGCGGACCGACCTCTAGAGCAAGTGAGAAGGGGCCATGATCTCGAATAGCTTGGCCCAGGGCTTCAGAGAAAAGGACAGGCTGGAGAAGGTTTTCTACCCAGTAGTCACTGTTCACCGGGTCAGAGCTTATATCCATCTCAAAGCCATGTACTGAAGATATCCATGTGCATGAAGGATCCCCAATCCGACCTTGAACGTTGGATTGATGCAAGGAATTCAAGTAGGGCAGTGCGCAGGGACGCATATAAGGCGTATGATACGCTTTGTCGACCCGTAGCATGCGTGCAAACCTCTCCTGACTGGCCAATTCCGACAGAGCTTGATGAAGTGACTTTTCGTCACCACTGGTTGTGGTTGAGAATGGCGCATTGCTGGCTGCGGGGAAAATCTTTCCTTTATACTCAGCACGGTCACACATGCGTAGGGCTTCCGCAAACCCGATTCCAGCGGCCATCATTGAGAGCTTAGCCCCAGTTGTTGAAGAGGCTCGGTGCGAGTAGTACCCGCGGTAGTAAGCCACTGTAATCGCCTCCTCAGCTGAGAGACATCCCGCGGTATAGGCCTGTATACAGGTTGTGAGAAAATTGATGATTGAAAGCAGCTTGGATTTGCGTATACTTACGGCAGCAATTTCCCCACTGCTATGTCCCACAACCACGTTGAACCGAACCCCCACACTGTGAAGTAAGTCAACCAAGGCAATCTGAACTGCCGTACAAAGAGGCTGAGAGAATTCAGAATCAGAGCAACGCGATGAACCCGCATCTGCAAGCAATTCGTCGCGGAGACACCAGTCTGGCGGGTTTGGAACCCGTCCAAGCACGATATCCAGACGTTCAATAGTGGCAGCAAAGACTGGCGACCGAAGAATGAGATTGCGACCCATAGTTGGCCACTGCGCGCCCTGGCCGGTAAAGATACCAAGCACACGAGGGACACCAGCAGTAACTCTTGCGAGTTGAGCATGTGCCCTCTGTCCAATGCTGTGGCTGGGTGCCGTGTATGAGCTTAACTGCTCGATTAACGAGCCCCTAGATAGTGCAACAAAGCAGTGCTTGGCAGAGAGAGCAGAGCGACTCCGTACTGTAAATGCCACATTTTGTAAATCCACTGATGAGTTGGCGGCAATATATGCTGCGTATCTTTGCACCAGGCGAGTCAAAGATCGCTGTGAACACGCCGATAATGGAAAGATAAGTGGTGATTCATGTTGCGCGGTCGTCGCCAGGGAACTTCCGCACATGGGAAGGAGCTGTTGCACTCCATGAACTGATGGTGTATAACGTTCAAGAATCTGGAGCGGTAAATCAGTAAAAAAAAAATAAAAATAAAAATAAATAAACAAATAAATAAAAAAAATGAGAAATAATCTGCGTGATTTAGTAGAAGTACATACACAATGTGCATTGGTTCCACCAAATCCAAAGCTATTGACTGAGGCGCGGGCCACCTCAACTTTAGGCCACGACAGAGGCACCGTCGGAACATGCAAGTTTGCATAAAACGGAGCAATCTTAGGATTCAGACGGTTGAAATGCAGATTCGGAGGAACAACCCCATTCTGAAGTGCCAGCGAGGCTTTAAGAAGACCCGCTATCCCGGCGGCGCCCTCCGTGTGGCCAATGACAGTCTTAACGGAGCCGACATTCAATAGATGCCTTGGTGGTTCTGCGCATGCAGGATGTTGATCGGGAAAGAAAGCGCATTTGATAGCCTCCGCTTCTAGCGGATCTCCCACTGGGGTTCCTGTGCCGTGAGCCTCAAAGAATTGGCATCTGAGAGACAGGTTAGCAAGGTTGAGGCTGCATGGTCTGGGGAATGAGGGTACATGCCGGTCAAGCTCACTGAGTGGATTCAGTCCTGCTTTGCGGTAGGTTTCTTGGATCAATGACGATTGGCTTGTGGCCAAGGGCATTGTAATTCCATTTGTCCGTCCATCGGAGTTGACCGCAGTCTCTCGAATCACGCATTCAATCGGATCTCCTGCACGCAAGGCATCTCCCAACCGCTTCAGGACTACCACTCCAATCCCTTCGCCCCGTGCATAGCCATTAGCGTCGGCATCCCACATTTTGGATGTGCCTGTTGGGGATAGCATGTGTAGATTTGACTCCGCGATATACATCTCCGGTCCCAAAATCAAGTTTGCTCCGGCAGCAATAGCTGTTGAGCACTCGCTATGCCGAAGTGCCTGCACAGCCAAGTGTACAGCCACCAGACTCGAGGAGCAGGCCGTGTCGATAGTCATTGAAGGGCCCTTCCAGTCGAAAAAGTAAGATACCCGATTGCTTAAGATGCTGCGGGCTGTACCCGTTGCATGGTATTGTGCTATAGTATCTGGATCCCGCAGCTGTAAATCCAGATAGTCGGCGCACATCAGGCCTGCATAGACCCCGGTATTGGTACCGCACATTGCCTCCAACGAGAGGCCGGCGGACTCCAACGCTTCATAGACGGTTTCTAATAGCAAGCGGTGTTGAGGGTCGATTGATGCTGCTTCCCGGGGATTGATATTGAAGAAGTTTGCATCAAACCGTCGCGAATCACCCTCCAAGAAATATGAATGCGTTACATTAGAAGTACCATGATGCGATCCAACTGCATTCCAAAAGCCCGCAGCACTGAATCGGTCCTCAGGAATCTTCTTGCTGAGATCGCGAGGTCTGAGAAGTAAATTCCAAAGCTCCTCGGGACTATTGGCGCCAGGAAAGCGACAAGCACTCCCGATAATGGCCACCGGTTCAGCTTGTGGGTATGCCATATTCCCCGAAAACGTCAGACGAGATGACTAGCAAGTAATCAAAGGTAAGTCTGTGTCGGCCACAACTTCTTTCGAGAAGATCAGATACCTCGAGAGGAGAAGTATGCGCGGGATATCATTGTCAATTGTAATGGCGGGCATTGGACGAGCCGGACGATACGCCGTAATCTCCACGGCCGTCCGCACCAAAGCTGCCGACGAGGCTGAACCGGGGGCGGTTGAAATTGCATAGACACGGTCTAAGACCAACTGGGAAGGCGAAGTGTCTGCGCTGCATGGTACAAATGTGATTGTAGGACTCTTCCGTGGTGATAATCTAAAAGTGTTGGTATGCTAACTGGGGGATGTTTAATCTAGCAGTGGGTCTGAGGGGCGACGCAAGTGAAGTGGGGCCGGCGGTCCAGCGTAAGCAAACTAGAAAGTTAGTGTGTATTAGTTGGATCCTACTATTTACTCGGTGGTGAACAGGCTGACGGAGGAAAAACGCCTCAGCCTGAAAGGAAGATCCCGGCACGGGCCATTCTTTGTCTGGATACTACGCTGATTATTGCCTTCATGAGCCGGATTCGTTTTACCACTCGATAGTATCAGCTACTGGATGTCATGCCACTCTACGAAGTAGGAATGACGGATATAAATTCAGGTCTTTTCCCGGGTTGATATGACAGTCTTCCCTTCATTCTTCAAACACATCACATCATTCTCTCTTCCAAATTACAATTGTCACGTTCTCCTTCTTCCCAAACTAGAACAAAACATGGCTCCCCAGAAGCAATTGGTCCTTAAGCTGACCTCCTTTCGCTACAAGAAGGAGGGTATCTCTTGGAAGGACTTCCATGAATACGGAACCAGACAGCATGCACCTAAGGCTGCCCGTATCCAGGAAAGACATGGCGCCTACAAGATTACGCACGTAAGTGCCCTGTCGATTGTTGCTTACATATCTCTCCCCCTCTTCAATTGACTAAAAACTCTTTCCCTTGCTAGGTGTACACTCCCCCTATCACCAAGAGTCTGATCACCGACAAAATCCCGTGGGCTGTCCGTCCCGGTTGGATTGTCGACGACCACGACGTTTCGGTGTCGATGTACGTGCCTGACCCCGAAACTCTGCAGGCAATCGTCACAGATCCGGAATTCCAGAGCCTTGTCGCAGGAGAGGACCATATTCTGGATCAGGAGCGGGCCACAGTCACCGCGGGCTGGGAGGAGGTCTTTGTGGATGAGGGCAAAATTGTGGACATTGACCGCGAGAGCTGGGAGGCTTTTACGGCCATGGGTCAGGGTAGCAAGAAGACTGATGCTCCCGAGGATGTTCGTATCTGAAACGAGCTACTCTACAGGGTGGGCTCTCGTCCGGCTGCTTAGATCTAGCTGTTAGTGAATAGCATCAAGTGAATGTCATTATTGTTTGGTAAAACGAAGTTGACTAATCTATAACAAAAAAACAGAAAAGAATTCAGTACAAATCCCAATTAGTACAGTGGATATACCAGCTTCTTGCCCGTGATTTGCTGATTGCGTAGAAGGACCAAGTCCTCGACCACACGCGCAAGACCTCCCTGCTGCACCTGAAGTGGATGCGGTTGTAGTTTTCCCTGGGCTAGAAGCTCGGTACAATATCGCGCCCATTCTATGGCAAATTCACGATCCTCCGGTCGTGCTGTCCGGTAGTAGGAGCCTGCCAGCTGAACATCGCCTCCGAAGATGGTCGCACTATGGATCCACTCCGGAGAGACAGAGGCACGACGGCGGTGCAATTGCGCGGGAAATTGATTCAAGGCACAGTACCGCCCGCCTGCTTCGCCGATGGCCCCGTAACAAATTGTAGTAGCGCGTGAATCCGCAATACAATCCATCACATGCATGAGAGTGCCGCCGGTGTAAGCCCGAATGTCCTCCTTGCAGGTGGGGGAGGTATAGTCAAACGTAGCTACTGCCCCCACCCGTCGCACTAGTTCAAAATTCCGAGGAGAACAAGTGGTGATGACGCGATAGCCATGATAGCGTAGGAGCTGGATGGCGAGGGTTCCTGTTGCCGTTGAGCCGCCATAGACCAACACCCAATGATCAGGCGTGGACTCTGCAGCTCGTAGCGGATTGAGGTGGAGAGACTGCAGCATCAATCCTCCCGTCATTAGCCCTAGTCCAAGGGAGGCGGCGGCCTCAAACGACATGGAGGGTGGGATTCGAAAACAGAGACTGGGATGGACCATGACGAACTGGGCAAATGCGCCGGATGAAGCTGCTCCAAAAACGAATCCACACAGACGATCCCCAATCGCCGCCTCGGTCACCTCCCTCCCACACGCAACGACAACCCCAGCAAAGTCCCCTCCACTGATGGTGCCCGGGTTTGCTGCTGCAGTATCAAGCATCTTCCAGTCTGAGGGGTTTAGTGCCACCCCCTTCACCTCGATCAGGACCTGATCTGCTCCAAGCGAGGGAACAGGGGCGTGGCTGAGCAATTGCAATGAACCGGGCCCCTGCACGACCAACGCATACTGCGAATCCGGAAGAATCATTGGGGAAGATGAACCAATCAATCTTGGAGTTATGTGATGATGAAGCCCATTCTCCGCCCCCCTTCTGGACCGTCATATTGCGGATATTTATACACTGACCTCAAGCTAAGGCTCTCCACTTGAGGTTGTATATGCTTTATCCCCATCGGTAATAGCGGGTTGCGTCTCTGTACTTTCCGCTAGGCTGACCATTTGAACATCCTCAGCCTGGCTAAGAGAGCCTTGGAAGCCGACTCAACTCCTAGCCATCCTTGAGTCTGATCGCATAAGGCCTGCATCTAGATTCGGCCCCCAAGTCTGCCTGAAACGCTTCGCTTCCGTCTCGTCCCTGAGGTGGTAATATTTATTTAACTCGTTTCTGAAAGCCGGCTCGCAATTGCTCTGACATGATTCGGGACTATCATCAGACTCAGAGTCACCCTCCCTCCCCTCTATCGGTTGAACCAATATGGCTACTTCCAGCACTGCTGGCGAGGTAGATGCCTTGCTCAGCGACCACTCCACATCAAATCGCGGACCCGAGATGCTGGGAGCATGTATTACTAGCATGATCTTCTGTGTCATAGGGTTGAGCATCCGTGTGTGGGCACAATCGCTCATTCACAGGATCTGGACGGTAGATTGTATTCTCATCATTCTCGCGGCCATTTTCACCCTGGCGACCGCGGGCTGTGTGATTGCCGCAGTGGCTAGCGGCATGGGTCAGCATGCAGTAAGAGGCCCCAGCATCTCCTCTTCTCTCCCGCCTAGTTTTCTGGCGGGGGAATCATGCCGTTTGATGGGAATCTAATTTTGGATAGTACTGGGTCATCAGCGAAGACCCGCATCCTCCAGAGCGAATGGCATTTGTAGTGGAGATGTCGTACATCATAACGATAATCCAAGCCCCCGCACTCATGTTCACCAAGTTGTCAGTCTTAGTGTTTTACCAACGGGCCTTCTCGACCATTGTTCGAGGGGTTCGCTGGACCATCTGGGGGCTCTTTGCCTTCTGTCTTGGCTTGGGAGTCGCCTCGACGATCGTCTTCGTCTGTGCCTGCTTGCCACCACAGATGTTCTGGCTTCGTGTCTACCCCATCTTCGGCTACGAGGCGCCTCAGCCCCTGGAAGATTATACGTGCATGCCTCAAAGGACCCATCTGTGTATTCCGCTTCTGCTTGATTTGTTTTCCGAACTAATTCTGCTCGGTATTCCGGCGGTGGTCTTGTGGAACCTCCAGATGGCCCTCCGCCGGAAAATCATCATCATCTTCACCTTCTCACTTGGATTGTTTGTTACGGCGATTTCAGCCGTGCGCTTCTACTATGCCTGGACCATGGTACTTGGGGGCGATATGACATGGGCAGATACAGACACCTGCATTTGGACCACAGTGCAGCTCTGCTTCGGTATCGTGACCGCATGCATCCCCGCCTCGGCTCCCTTGTTGCGACTCCGCCAAACTCCCAACCCCCGCCCATGGAACAAGCAGGGAGGATACATGCTATCGATTAACTACGCATCCAACAGTAGAAAGCGGAAGGACATGGGGACGGAAAGCATGCTGGACCTTCAGAGAAGCCCCGAGGATGATGTGGAGGACTCTGCGACCCGAGGCACGAGTTGGGAAACACCGCCATCACACGAATTACGAAAGATTGAGGTGGTCCGGAAGGTGGAGATCCATCATGGTCCGTGAGAGGGAGGAGCAAAAGGTGGGTTGGGTGCGGACGGAAAGGAGATGAGGGGATGTGGAGTCTCTATGCCCTAGTGCTTACTTTGGGTGGACGGAATAATCAAAAGGCTTAGTAGTACCTTGTAAGAACCAAAGACTACCATGTCATGAACCCCCTCATCCTTCTCTCTGAATTACTATGTAGATACAAGGCTGTGAGGAAGATCCTTTCCCCGTTAGGAAAGAGATTGGGGTTATCCCCTTCGTGAATTCTGAACATGATGGCTGGGCTAGAGGCGCATGTAAGATGCAACCCCCGAAAGTCACCAACTCACACTGCTCACTTGGTGGCACAGGGGAAGCTTTGCAGGGGTTCAGCCTTAGCCGATGCAACTAAGCCTCGCTAACTAATTGCTCCTGCCGCCTTGAACGCCTTAGTTATATCCACTACTCACTTAGTGCTGACAGCTTGCAGTAGCCATCGCCGGTCCCCAATGGCGCCTCTCGCTCCCGCTCGACATCTCCCCGGAGCGAAAAAAAAGAAGAATAGGAAGAAAGGGTAAACCACAAGTAACGCTCTGCAACCTTCGATCGGAGCAAAGTATCCTGCTGATTAGCCCTCTCTGATAGAAGCAAAACATGGCTGCTCGTGGTTGGCGATTCTGGCTGATTATTGCTGGACTGTCAATAACATCCCTCCTCACTGCGATCGAATGTACGGTTCCATCGACTGCTCTGCCCACGATCTCGCGCGATTTGAACGCAGGAGAGTCGTATGTTTGGTTTGTCAACGCACTCTTTCTATCAAGGTATTGACTCTCTCTCCTCCGCACGTCTTCTTTCTTCCTGTAACGCTAAATCGTCCGCCATGGCCCTTTCAGTACCGCCGTCCAGCCGCTCTTTGGACAATTGGCCGACGTCTTCGGTCGACGATGGCCCCTGATCTCCGCAGTGGCTTTCTTTGCTCTAGGCAGTGGCATCAGCGGTGGTGCCAGTTCGACCGCGATGCTTATTGCCGGGCGCACAATCCAGGGAGTGGGCCTCGGAGGTGTCAACATGCTCATCGACGTGGTCGTCTGTGATCTCGTCCCCTTACGCGAGCGAGGCCAAGTGACCGCCCTCATCTTCGTCGTGTTCGCCGTGGGATCGTCCATCGGGCCCTTCATCGGGGGTGCCTTTACACAGCACGTCACCTGGCGGTGGGCATTCTATATCAGTCTTCCAATCGCCGGCAGCGCGATGGTGTTCATGATCCTCTTCCTCCAGGTCAAATCTCAGAAGCACACCACCTTCGCGGACAAGATGAAACGCATTGACTGGCTAGGTAATACTATACTGGTCGCCGCGGTGGTAGCAGTTCTCATCGCGCTCAGTTTCGGTGGCACCTCATACCCCTGGTCAAGCTGGCGTGTCATTGTGCCGTTAGTGCTGGGACTCATTGGACTGATCGCCTTCGCCCTGGTGCAGGTGACGCCCAAGCTCTGTCCAGAGCCAACCATGCCCCCTCGTCTCTTCGCCAACCGCACCACCTTTGCCGCGTTCGTTATCAGCTTTCTGCATGGGATGCTGATGTATTGGGAGCTATACTTCCTGCCAGTATACTTCCAAGGTGTTCAGCTAAGCACGTCGACTCGATCCGGAGTGGAATTGTTGCCCACCGTAATCGTCACTGTCCCTGCCGCCATCGTTGCCGGTGCTCTTGTTACTAAGACCGGCCGGTACAAGCCCATACAAATCAGTGGCTTCGCCTTCATGGCCCTCGGCATGGGCCTCTTCAGCCTTCTCGACCAGAACTCCAGCACAGGAGCCTGGGTCGGCTACCAGCTGCTAGCGGCCATTGGCTCAGGCTTCATCGTCACCTCAACCCTGCCAGCTGCCCAGGCCGCGCTGTCCGAGGCTGACGTGGCCACCTCGACAGCAACCTGGGCATTTTGCCGCGCATTTGGCGCCGTCTGGGGCGTCTCCATCCCGGCCGCTATCTTCAATAATCGATTCGCCGCGCAGGTGAGCGCGCAGAACGATACGGGACACGCGGCGCAGGTGCTACAAAACACGGGTAACGCGTACCAGCAAGCCTCGCGGGAATTTGTCATGCAATTTTCGCCCGAGGTTCAATCGATGATTATCGACGCGTATACCGCAGCGCTCCAGCGAGTGTGGCAGATTTCTGTGGTGTTTGCTGGACTAGGCTTCTTATTTGCGTGGCTGGAGAAGGAGGTGGAGTTGCGAACCACGCTGGAGACAGAATACGGGCCGGAAAAGAAAGAGCCGTCGCCCGAGGTGGAGGACGTTACAGTGTCCAAGTGAATCGTCTATGATAGTGCTGAGCTGTTTAGATCTACTTTGGGTTCCACTATCAAAGCAATGAAACCAGACCTCTTGAGTCAATAGGTTTCACATAGCTCCACGGATATTCCACGGATTAAGAATGATAGAGACTACGCAATTGTCCATCAGTTCCAAGTACCTCTATGTACGACACTGGTAGATTAAAAGAGAGAGAGGAAAAAGAGATAGTGTAACAGAGACCTCCATGGCAGGGCATACAAGACCGCAGAACATGAAGATGTAGAAGATTACCATCACCCAGCTCCCATAGTCAAGCCGGTCATTTCAGTCTCCCACCTAGAGCTTGATGTTCGTTCATCAATCGATGCTCGTGCTAACGCTTTCATATCTTGGCAAAGTAAATATATATTCATTCTTACTGTAATAGATCCCCTCATATGACTGCCTTACCCGATAATGCCAAGCTGGCATTCTCGACGAAGAGTACCATCATACGCATTGGGATTGACAGGAGACAGTGGAGGGAGGAAATACATAGCCAATACATGGATTTGGGCGGAAGTATATAAGAACATGTGAATGCCGGAATAGGGCTTTTGGTGAATACATTACCTGCTCAACATGGTGTAAGTTTATTTTTATAGGGAAAACAGTGATTATGAACCTGTAAACGACCCCACATATAGCCTTTCTATCCATTGTTGTTGAGGCTGCTAGTGTCTTGATGTGCTATGGTATGTCCCCTTTAAAACTGCCCCTTCCATTTATATTCCTATTTGTATGGAAAATAGTCCCCTCACAAAACAGCAGGACCATCATATTCCTTTCGACCCCGCACAATCCAGAAAACCATGCTCATCAGCCAAACAAACCCAAAGATCAAAGAAGCGTAGTTCATGTTAGATGGAGTGACGGGTTGATAGGAGGGAAACACCATGAAGATGCTGGTGAATAGCAGATAGATGATGGCGATAACATTGATGGCAACGCCAGCGCGGCCAAGCCTCCATGGCCTATAGCTTAAACTGTGTGGGGCGGAAAGGCGGCGCCATAGGAAAAATAGGATAGGGACAAGGTATGAGATGTGTAATCCTAAGACGGCAAGTGAGAGGATGGCGTTGAAAGCAGTAGTGGAAGCGATGTTGATCAGCCCGAACAGCACGAGCAGACTGCTCGTTGTGATGATTGCGCGCTTCGGTAAGTCTGTGTGAGTATCAAGCTGAGAGAGATAACCGGAAAATGGGAGAGCTAGGTGGGTCAGTGAAAGAGAAATGGGAGGGATGAGGTGGCCGCTCGTACCTCTATCCCGAGCTAAGGACAGAACCATACGAGCGGTTGATGCCAGCAGCGCAATGGTGCCCAGCCAGGCTGCGATTATCAAAACAGCCGTCAGGGCACAGCTTCCAGCCGATGATCCCGTTACACTGCGAAAAATTTCGATTATTGGATAGTTGGTCGGGGTATCAAGTGCGTTTTCCATGTCTCCCATGCAGAACAGAATGGTGAGTAGAAAAACGAAACCTAATATGTCGTTGATGGTAAGCGAGCCCAGCATACAGTATGGGACGGCGGTTTCTGGATTAACCATCTCTTCGCAAAGATGAATGGCTCCGTCGTAGCCTAAGCTCAGTGGGTCAGGATGTAGATTTTCGATGCCAGGGTGGATTCTCACGAACCTGCCAGTACATAGCAGCTGGAGAGCATTCCTAGGCACCAGGCAAGGCCATTACTCGACCATCCGGTGCTATTCAGGAAGGTAGTAAAGACAAATGTGGCGTTGTGTTTTGCTGGGACGCAAACCCACATAACTATCAGGACAACGACAAATCCGACCAGGTGAATGACGAGAGACGCCGTCTCTACGAGTGAGAACAAACGACTGCCCCAGATGTTGAGAGCTGTGGCGAAACCAACAAGAGCCCAGTATATTAATGATAGATGCCAGCGCTGAGGCTGATACGCCTCGCATGTGAGAACTACAAGGCCTTGTATCATGCCTGCAGCAAGATATGGAGCGCTTGCAGTGAACGATACCCACCCAAAGGTTCCTATGAATGTAGAAAAAGATGAGCACGGTGGAATATAAGCCTTATCATAGTACATCCTACCTATCCACCCTACAAACCAGCTCAGAATATTCTGCCATTTGTCGGGTGCGAACTTCGCGATAAAGTGATACTGACCTCCAGCTGTCGGGTACCTACCACTCAGCAAGGTCAGGTAACGGTAGTAAATGCGAAAACACAAGGTACTGACATGGACACCATCTCCCCCAAGGAGGCCGCTGTTGCCATGGAGCCCACGATTGCCACTTTGATCGGGGTCAGACTAGTTGTGAATAGTCGAAGAGGCAGAACACACGTATAAATCCATAGATGAGAGATACAGGGCCACCGCTAACGAGACCTGAGGACATTGTACTATCATGGATGGTGTGATCAGACACTAGATTATGGTGTTGGATAGTGAACGTGGGACTGTACCTGGAAAGCGCCTCCCAAGTTGACATGAGAACCACAGTGAGGGAAAAGATTGTAAGTCGAGAAAAGGGCTTCTATAGATCAAGCATCGTCATCAGAGGTTGTCCATTTCAATGCCAGGCTTGTGGACTACTCAAAAAGAATACTGACCTTGATTGGGATAGCCTCTCCAATTCTGAGCTCGTTCTCGCCCTCGTCTGCCGACTTGGCAGTCATAGTATCTGCGGGGGCCTTCATACTCGGCGACATTATGTCTTTAGCAATAGGGATGCCGTGGGCTCAACAAAATTGAAGCGTATTTTGGTAGGAATCGCATGTATAAAGCGGAAACTGAGAGGTATAGAGTCCATCATGAATGTCCAATGACCGGTCGCATCCAGGAAGATAAGCATCTTCGGAACAGCTATCGCTATTCGTTCTTTTTGTAGCTGATATACTGCTGCGAGACTATTAACTTTTCGTATCTGAAATAGTATAAAAAGTGCGGGCCAGTGGAACGTTCCGGTGCTTATCGTGACTGCGGAATTGCGGGGAAGAACTTGGATACGTTATCAACTCCTGCGGAGCATTGCCGCCAGGTACAATAAGCTTCATCCACTTCACATCATTGTCTTCACGAGCAAAACTGCACTTTAGTCTCTCCACTCGTTATCAATGTCAGATCCACAGCCAACCTCTCGCCGCAGGTTCAAGACTCGCAGTGAGTATCTGAGCCATGGGATAATGACATTGCGGAAACTGACACGCCTCTGATGCCAGATGGCTGTCTAAGATGCAAACAAAGGGTGGGTGTAACAAACCCAATTGTGTCTACCTCCTAATATCCAGGCTAAGTTAGTTGACAGCGAATCAAATGCGACGAGACGCTTCCTGTGTGTAATCAATGTACCCGCAAACGCTTCGAATGCCCGGGATACAAACGCCCATTGAAGTGGTCGTCCAAGTATGAGGTGGGGAGAAGTGGGAATAATAGCGCAGTCCTGAGCTCCTCCGAGCAGGTGCTCCAAAGAATAGAGCCCGTCCAGCCATTACGACCCATCTTGTTCCAGTCCACAGTGCCGGACGACGCCACACGCTCCCTGCCTGTGCAGACAGATGTCCAGCCCGCGCAGAATGAGACTGCTGTTGGATCAGACCAGGCCTCAATCTCTGCGGCAAACAGTTCGCCACCGAAAGATATCTGGATCCCTTCGACTATGGTAGGTAATGATTGTGGTGAATTATGGACAGGAACCATATTAGCGGAACCGACTTTGTCTACCCAAAAAGACGATGACGCAGCTCTTCTCAGGCATTACTTTTCCAATGTTTGCCGAGTCAATTCGTGCTTTGACTCCCACAAGAACTTCTTCCGTGCCGAAGTGGGATCCCTGATAAGCTCCCGTCCTCTGATTCACTACTGCGTACTGTCCATGTCCGCCGCCCATCTGACGGCAAGACAAAGAGATATGTTGACGATCACGCTGCGGCACCGGACAGAAGCACTATCCTGCTTGAAAGCTAGAATCACACAGGGGGTTTTGACACAAGAAATAAACAATGGATCACCACTCGATAACGTTGCCGAGATCTTAATTGGTAGCATACTCTTGGGCATGACAGAGGTACCCATTCTCAGTGCGTCCATGCCAGCCTTTTGATGTTAAGCTGATGGCCTTTCGTAGGGGTGGCATGATCCCACTCAACTCGGGGTCACACATCTCCGTGGTGCACGCACGTTGTTCCGGAAATGGATTACTACCGTCCCGGCATGCTGCCCTCGGACCAGAACTATGATTACGGGCATTATGTCCTACTGGGAAGCAGTCGCCTCGTTTGTACACAACCAGTCCCTAGACTCGATATCCTACCTCATGCCATTCTCCTTCGAGACATGCCATGTATACGTCAATCCATGGACAGGGATCTGCACGCCACTTTTTATACATTTGGCCCAGATTGGTATATTGACAAGGCAGCGATCGCTAGCCAGACAATTGCCTGTAGGCTTTTGGGGCCATGTAGGCCCCGACATGCTTGAACGGGCTAAAGCCATTGAAGATGCGCTCCAATCCTACAGAACCCTATCAATCCACCAGATAGAAGACACAGCTGATTCCCGGACGCCTGTCGACCACCTCCAGCGAATTGCAAGCATCTACCGGCTTGTAGGATTACTTCAGCTCTACATGACCTTCCCTGAACTGCATGGAGCCCACTCTGTGGATTTTAGCCTAACCCACAGCATCTTGGGCCTGGCCACCAATGTGCTAACCACCATTGGCGTGCTTCCCCACACGTCTGGGGTTTACTGTTTGCTCACGATTCCATTGATTATCGCGGGTAGCGCTTTGCAACTTCCTTGTTTCTCGTCGGACGTCCCCACTTCCATGTTGCAGCAAGATACCTATCTCTTCTGGAGGAACTTCGTGCGGGAGAGGGTAAAGACCGTTCAGGAGATTGTAGGACTCGTTACCATTGGCCGCGCGCAGAAGATCCTCGATAAGGTGTGGTTTCTAGCCGACATGCGGAGGGCCGCTGAGGATCCTGACCAGGAATGGGAGTACATCCAGTGGACCGAGGTCATGAGCTCCGAGAATTTGGAGTCAATCTTTGGTTAGATCATGTATGGCACTAAACCTTATTGGGGAAAATAGTGCGTCAACTGGAACAAGGAATGCGATTGGTCAGATTTCATACTTCTAGATGTTCTTCCAGTTGGGGGTCGTGAACTTGCCTAGTAAGGAATGCCATGAATCCCTCATCGGAGTGTTAGTATGATGAAATGGCTTGTAATAGTGCACCCATGCTCTTATTCCCGCCTTCGGCACTTAGTCTTCTGAATAACTCTCATGCAATGGAATCTGTTACAGCAATTCCACCCGAAGCCATACATTCCTTGACTGATGAATAATTACATATATAATAGCCTTCACTCCAAGCCTACCATAGTACTCAACACTTTCTCAATTAGTCTCCAATCCCATCTCCCAACCAAACCACCATCGAAATGGTCCTCCAAGTGAAAAGCAAAGCTGCAATGTACAATGTCCCCAGATACGGAGACATACCTAACGTCTTCTTTGGTACCTCCTCTTTCCCCCACCCTTCTCATTGACAGATATTGACAGCAGAGGCGCAGAGGACCTGCTAGGAACAAGCAGAAGCGAGGAGAAGAATCCTATCGTCGGATCTTGGTTCCGAATTGAGAAAGGACCTGAAGCTACGCCTCCGACGTACTCGTATGATGAGGTTGGGGTGGTCATTGAGGGTAAGTGGATCAATTTATATGGATGCTGGTGATAAGATATGTTTCGGCTGATTACGCTATTATTTCTGTGAAGGGGAAATCAATCTCCGTGACGAGAGTGGACAGACCGCTACAGTGAGGCCAGGTGATACGTTCTTCTTTCTAAGGGGTAGTACTATCACTTTTTCTACAGATAGTTATGGCGTAGCGTGGAAGTGTGGGGGTCGTGAAATGGCGAGGCTTTGATTTGTGTCATTGGTTTACGGTGTAGGATCCGGCGTTGAGTCGGTTGTATCTTATGTGACAGTGCCTAGCAAGTCAATCGTGCAGAGTTTATAGGGAAATTGTTGTTGCTGTAACATGCATAATGAATAAATAGATAACGTCCAGTTGCGCTCATGCTTTTACTGGAGAGGTTTGAAATACTTAGAACTAGTTAGAATGCGAGTAGTGGATATGCCCGAAAGGTTACGTGCGCATGGACGAGGGATTCTCAATGAAAGGATCAATCAATGCCCAGAACCAACATACCCGCTGATCTATGCTCCTCATCCATACTCCCATCCTGCTGGGCGGCACCATTACCCGAATTGGCAAAATAGTGCGTCAGCTCTACTATTTCCTACCACCCGTCAATTGTCGAGACTATCAGCTACACTTTAGCATCGGTCGTGGATATTCCAATCTCGGAAGTAACGGATAGGACTCTTAACACTCACCTGGATTCTCTTGGTAACCCGTTCTCATTAACTACTTGAACAGCACAACATCCTCTCTCGCATACCTTAGATATATTTACCCGCATGCGATCCTCCACATTCCCCTACTACTACCATCACTCGATCCCCTAGTACGTTAATCATGTCCCGCTCCAGCGAAGGCTACCTCTGGACCCCTGAGCAAATCACCTCAGGCCTACCCACAGACGCAGTCCACCCCAGCACGCCCGCCCTCCGCACCCACTACGACGTGATAGTCATCGGGGCCGGATTCGCCGGACTAATTACAGCCCGCGACCTAAGCAGAAAGCACAATCTCAACGTCCTGCTCCTAGAAGCGCGGGACCGCATCGGTGGTCGAACATGGACAGCCAAGGTTCTCGGCGAGGAGATCGAAATGGGCGGGACCTGGGTTCACTGGAACCAGCCGCATCTGTATGCCGAGCTGCATCGGTACGGACTGCACCGGAATCTGAAGACCTCTGCGGGGTCATTCACGCCTGTGGATCAGTGGTTCAGGTCCAGTAGTGGTCCTGTGGAGAAGGTTTCTGTTGAAGATTACCAGGCTACGCTTGAGCGCGTTGCAGAGAAGTTTTTCGCAATTGATGGGCTGGACAGTCGTGCGTTGATGCCGTATCCGCATGATTCGCTGAGGGAGCCGGCGCCGTGGAAGAGGTATGATTATCTTAGTGTGGAGGAGCGGTTGGAGATGTCGGATTTGGATGGGTTGCCGGGGTGGGAGAAAGAGCTGTTTGCGTCTAATGTTAGTACGTTTGGGAGTGCGCCGGTGAAGGATATTGGGTTTGTGGAGGCGCTGCGGTGGTTTGCGCTGGGAGGGCATAGTATGGCTGGGGTGTTTGAGTTGGCGGGGGTGTACAAATTGGGGAGTGGAGGGATGACTTCTTTTGCGAGGGCTATTTTGGGGGACTTCACTGGTCATGTTAGCTTTGGAACGGTTGTTGAGCAGATTAATCATGGTCGTGATATGGTAGAGGTTGTCACTAAGGATGGGAGGAGGGTTGGGGCTCGTGCGGTGGTGTCGACGGTTCCGCTGTATGTTTCTTTCCTATCTCACCTTCTGTTGCTTTAGATATATCCACCTGACTAACCTAACGACAGAAACTGCCTCAACGACATCCAATTTCAACCCCCACTCACCCCCCTCCGACAAGCAGCCATCACAAAAGGCCACATTAACAAAGGCGCAAAGATCCACTTCAAGCTTCGCGAAACACTACCGGGTTGGTTCTTTACTGCACATGACGGCAGTGACTCCAGCTTTGTCTTTGCGTTCTCAGATCACAATGGAACCCAGCTAACAGGCCCGTCTGGCACCTGGTGCATTGGATTTGGGTACAACGATCAACTTACTAATAAGAAGGATAGCAAATATATCTTGCAGAGATTCAAGCATGATGTTAACCCGGATGTGGATATTGATGCCTATGCCACCCATGATTGGATGAATGATCCGTATGCGAAAGGGGCTTGGGCGTGCTGGGGACCAAATACTGCGTCAGAATACTTGGAGGAACTTCAGAAACCGCATGGACGGGTTGTGTTTGCGAGCGCGGATTGGGCGGACGGGTGGAGGGGGTTTGTGGATGGTGCGATTGAGAGGGGACAGGCTGCTGTGGGGGAGGTTTTGGGGATGCTGGAGGGGAGAGAGGGGGGGAGGGCTAGGTTGTAGGAGGATCCCAGTGTTTTGTGCGTGGTTTGTATGGTGCAGACATATTATCTATGATGTGAGTATCATCTATCGGATGAGTTCGAGGAGAATAAGCTGGAAATGAATGCTTACAATTCAGACATTGATATTGATCGCTACGAGCGTCGAGAATGTTTACTTGATTTTAAGCCCAGCATTGATCACTTATTATGAGATACTATAAACATCCCACAATAATGAACCGTGTCCGTGCCCCTTTCTACTCAACAAGTGGTACCCAGCACATGGACCAGATAAAGTGTCGATCACATCTAAATCCCCGACGTGTAACACCAATGGGGGTGTAACCATAGCCTCGTCAACACTACCTACAACCTGGTCTGCTGTGTGTAGCATACCGCTAGATTTCCGTCCAATGGGATAGAAAATGCAGTGTGCGAAGTGATTGAAATGCATCTTGCATTGTGCTTGACATGTCGGTGTGAAAGCGGCTGGCATGACGGCAATGTACTTACTGTCCTGGTTCATAGCTACTCACCGCATAGTAAGTATCGGTGACCATCAATGATTGCAATCCCAATCGATCAAGATAGGTAAGCGATCAGAATGATGTGTCGGTGCCTGCCTGCCTTAGTGGCAGTCTAGTATTTCCTAGATCCATATGTCGGCACTAGTAACTCCCGGCACTGGCAGTGTAGAGCACGTGTCGATCTAGGTAATATCTTGCGGTATCTTTGACCATTTTATCATTTCTATCTGATCAACGATGAGTGAGATCGACAACCTGTGACTTTCCACAACGACCAAGGTATCGGAAAGAAAAGAAATTTTTTTTCCCCTAGTGACTGGTCACCCGCTCCACTTTCCTTGCGCAAAGTGATGTGTGCCGTGTGTGTGGGATGCAAGTGAGAAATTGGGATGGGACGAGGCATTGCGACTGGGTCTCATAGCCGCCAAACTGAAGCATATATTCTTATCTTCCTTGTAGACATGAGTCATGAGGTCTGATGAAGGTAGGATGTATGCCTGCAATTTGTCAGAAGTACCATATAGTAAGTAGGTACTATAGTACCTCTTTAAGTCTGGTGGCTGCATGTGCACAAATGGGACTGGCCTGGCCAAGATAAGCTTGTGCTATTAATCATTCGATAGAAAAATAACTAAGTGAGGGGCACTGAGCCCACGAAAGAAAAATAGAGAGATAGAATGCACTTGGCCGTGTTACCGTAGCCTTGGATTTCACCATCCCAGACCCCAATCAGAATTCAGCTTTGGATCAGGCGCCGGGATTTGAGCTTCACTTTTTCCCCTCTTACGGACGGGATGTGGGCTGTAATATGCGACGTATCAAATTTATAATAATTTACCCCAACGGAAATGTGATGAATGATGGGTTCGCCCTACCCATATTGTTATTCGTGCCTTGCTATTCCGTACAAAGTAGGATGCCGTGTTATAGTAGGAAAATAACGGTGGAGACTGAGTGCGCGGGGACATCTTGACTCATGCTGGGACCTGATTGATTTAGATGGTGGGATGTCAGCTGCAAGGCATGAAGAATCAATCCTTTCCGGTGAGATTTTTTTCCCCCGTTGTTTGCTTTTTCTGCAGTGACGTCCTTGCTTCGGAATGCGGAAAAAGACCTGGCCTTGGTCTTGATGCATCGGAATCCAGCCATTCTGGACCATTTCAAGTCAACTGGTACTACGCCTTGCCTCCTCATGGTATTTTATTTCCTACGCTTAGGCATTGATTCATGTGAGGTTAAATGCTTAACCATTATTAAGCGGAAAGATAGGGGAAAATAAAATAAAATAGTTAATCTACTTAATTTCCCACCCATCTCACTTTCAGCTCACCCGTTCAGCCGCGAAATTGATGCTAATTTACCAACGAACATCCCGGTCCATTACGGAGTAAACCTGGTGCTTAACAGACGACCAAAATCAGCGATCGGCCGGAGATCCGCCGCAACGGTCAGCCACTAAGAGGCAAGGATGAACCCAGAAAGGCAAGACTGGCTGTCATCCACTCCGCAGCTTCCCCCACCGGGCGTTCCTCCTCGAGGCGGTCATTGGCACTTAACGGCTCCCGAATGACCCGGCCAACGTACTGCTGTTTTTCCTCTCCGATCCAATCGTGATCCCTCGTCACCCTGCCCCCCTTTTTCTTTTTACCCTCAGTCACTTTTCTTACCCCCTTCCTAGTAAGCCCGTACTTGCCCACTTCCCACTTTTATTCAAATCCCTTTTGCTTTTTTGGGGCAATGGGCTATCCTCATTCGACGCTCCCCATTTTTAAGATGCCAAACGAGGGAAATGAATATTATTATAATGATAAAATAAGTGAGGTACCTATTTTCATCTCTCCACTTCTTCTGTCCCTTTCACTTCCACTATTCTCCTTTTATACTCCTTTTGCGTCGCGTGCCCGATGTCGCCCCTCTTCCCCCCTTTTTATGTAACTAGAAATAAATCCGGGTACCTGAATTAGGGAGGTATTTAGTGAGTGAGTGAGTGGTTGGGTCGTGGTTGGTGGTGGGTAGCGTGGTACGCCCGACGTCAAAATGAACTTGGGTTCAGGTGATGAGTGTTGGCCGTAAGGAGGAGGGGATAAAGGAGTATGTAGATACGTAGATACTACTAAAGCAACCGAACTAGTACTAATATAGAAGGATTACCTTACTCTTTAGTTGGTGCTACTTGGTGGCAGTAACGGGAGCATTTCAGCTGCAGGCCAAGAGCAGGCATTCATTCATTCAGCTTCCCCCATGGATGGGATTTGAACACACCGTGACGTTAGCATCGGCTTTGTCCCCTTTCATTGGACGTGGCTGGGCAGAAGGATGAAAATCTACGGAGTACTAACTACGTATGACGGTCGACGTGCAGGGCGGAGATAGATAGACTGTAGCTACTCCGTACCTACTTTACCTACCGGCATGAGTATCGTTGCCTCGGCCTGGAGATTCTGACTGATCGACTGCCTCTCGTATCATTCAGCCTCGAAGTTCCGCTCCTGCACGGCTGCCGATCCGTGTCAGTTGATCAAGGCGGGCTTCATTGGGGTTTTGTACTTTGTATCCGGAATACGGAATACGGAGCGATCGAATGACTATCTATCTATTTATTTTCCTCTTAGATTGATCATCTGGAGCTGGATATAATGTTATGTTGTGGGTTATTTAGCGGTGTTTGCATGAAATAGACTACTACTACATACTAAACCGTATGATGTTGATATAGAATGCTCGGTACCGTCGAATCCCTCCTGCTGGTCCCATTCAGCCACATGAACCATTCAGTATTCATAGTCGTCGTTTAAGTAGCAGCTGCATCGCATGACGAACGCCCTGAAGAGTTTTTGATTCCCCTCAGTTGCAAAAAAGACCCCACTTCATGCTGAGTAGGGAAGGGAACCGGTGATTTTCATCAACTAACTAGCTAGTACTTACTACTTACTACCTACAGGACTAATTACTCCGGGCCAGGGGACTAAATCTAGCCCGGGTGGATGTTGCGGTTCCACGATCTGTAGTAGATCGACCATCAGCTGACCGACTTTTGATGGCCTCGAAGGATTTGGCTGATCGGAATTGTGGTCTAGATACTAAGGGAGTAAGTAGTAGTCTAGGTATGGAGTAGTTAGGATTGCCTATCAGGCTCCTGTAAGTGGTGCAAGGGAAGCGACAGAACGGGGGATTGCTGACTGGCTGAGAGAGAAAGGGACTACTGCCGGTAGTCGTGTGTTACTAGTAGACTAAGTAGTAAGTAAAGTGTGAACGGAGTTTCCTCCGCCCAGCAGCAGCAGCAGCAGCAGCAGCAGCAGCAGCAGCTTGAATGGATGACAGTTTAGTCCTCCGTAGAAGTGTTCAAAGTAGACACGGGTCGAATTCCCCCCCTCCCGGCCTTTTTCTCTCCCCAATCATGCCATGGAATGGAATCCATCCACTTTGACTGTTGGGAACCATGGTTCGCTTTCTCCAGTCCATTCCCTGACTACGTATACTTGTTCTTCTCCCTCCCTTAGCTCTTTCTCTCCATCTTCCTCCTTGATCTATCTCTTATTATCCCCGGCGTGCAGCGAAACAAGCGAGTGAGAGAGAGGTTCCGCTGTGTTGGAACGCGACCGGGACTAAAGCAAGTGACGGGCTGCTACTAGTAGTTCCCTTTTGGAGCCATTCCCAGCCAGGCCCGGATTGGACTAATCCCAAACTAACACTAAAATCTAAACCCTTCTGCTTTCTCTGCGCGTCTTTCCCTCTTCGCGCTCTCCACCGCGCTCTCCACTTCCTCCAAACTCGTTGCGCTTCTTTCTTGATCATTGTTATTATTATTACTACTATTTACTTTTTTTTTTGTCCCCTGCTCATTACCTCTTATTATCATCATCGGCATCATCATCCTTTCTCCAGCAAGCATCAGCAAGCATCAGCACCATCATCCTCATTAGCAGCAGCAGCAGCTCCAAATATCCTACCGGCTTCTCCTCGCCTATTGTTGTTATCCATCGCCCGTGCTCTCTCGGTCTATTCTTTCTCAACCTCCCCCCCCTCCCTATATTCTCGGTACTTATTCTCCTAATCCTGATCTTCTCGCCCCGGCCACCTTTCTATTATTATCCCTCCCGTAATCTCCTCTCCTTTGCCCCGAGCGTCCTGCCCTCGATCGTCAATTCGTCTCGTGCTACCGCTTTCAATTCCTCTCAATGTCCGACGCTTATTGCCGTCACTCTCAATAAAGAACCACCCGTTCGTGCAGGCTCTGGTCATGTCGTGTCGCAAGCACATATTGCGATCCCAACGTGGGCTGTCCCTGTCTCATCTTCCCTTCTAGTTTGCCGGCTCTGGTGAACACAAAGACTCACTCCGGCTCCCCGGTAACAGAGCCTCTTTGGGGAAGAGCTCCCGCCGCGTGAGGGCGCTTGCTGCTGATCGTATAGTTGCATATCCACGCCCGCGCTCATTATGGCGTTGAGCTCAGCATCTGTCGACCGTTTCCCAAATGAGCCAGGTCAACCGCAGACGGATACTTATTCAACACGCCTCGACCCAGGAACCAAGGCGAAGGTACAAGCGAGTGCGGATACCCAATATGCGACAACCGATCTACGACGCGCTCACACGGTTGCCCACGGCAGAAACACCAAGGAAACCGCAACCATTGGCTCGAGAACAACCCGGGAACGGCTGGCTACTTCCCTTCTGCGGGTCAAGGACAGCCACGAGATATTGCGGAAGCGGTCCTTCAAGCGGCCTGATACCTCTCAAGCGCCTCGTGACGCAGCTGTGGGAGCTAGAGAACCGAACCACTTTACCGTGGGGAATGTCGGCCAGAATGGAAAGATCTTTCTAAGGTATGACCATCGCGCTGTGCTATATTTGGCGACATCAGATGTCATGGATATAATGCTAACACCCTTGTCACACTTTTCCAGACCGATTCGCAATCCACCGACCAAAGAACCCTTCCCGGCGCCTTCTATTCCTTCACCCAGCCAATCCAGACAAGAACACTTTGCGCACGGACGTGGTGCCCCCGAAAGCGACGAGCCTTCTAGATGGTCGAACTCGCAGCTCTCTGAGTTGCGCCCAGATCTGATCCCTGAAGAGAGCTGCGAAGATGGCGACTCTGTCAACACGGAATCGGCGCATTCCCAATACCACGGCCTACCTCACCATCGACCCCGTAAAGCACACTCGTTCTCTACTATCTCAGAACAGCGGTCAGAGTCGCGTGCAGGTCGCGCAGGGGAGCTTCGTATCTACATTGATCGAGCGGACAATCGGCCAAAAACTGCCAATGAACCGTCTCAGCGGGCCTTGGACGATGCCATCCCCCGTTATAGGTTGGACTTGCCTCGATCCAACCTTGACAATGAGACGGCCCTGCACAGCTCCATTTATTCAAGAACGTCATTGTCGGACATTATGCGCACGTCACGACTCCCGCGGGAATATTGGATTGGCACTCTAGCCTCCGACGCCTATTTACGGAACCCCGAACGGCCCTCCTTTGTCGGCTCGGTCTTTTCGGGCGCAGGTGCCATCGAGTTGCCCCAGAGTTCTGCAGTTAGTGAGAATCCTGTCTTCTATGAGTTGAAGGAACCGATCGAACCGGCCATCTTCGAGACGCTAGTGTCGAAAATGGACAAAGAGTCAGTGGTTCGCTATGCTTCAGGAACCAAAGACATCAGCGCTGCTACGCCGGCACGTATCGTCGCGCAAATATCATCTGCGTCCTTCATGGATTATGAGCTTGTATCCGATTTCTTCCTCACATTTCGCTCTTATATCTCGACCAGCACCCTTCTCGCATTGCTTCTCGCTCGATTGCGGTGGGCGATTAATCGCCTGCAGGATGACGGCCGGATCATCCGTATCCGGACATTTGCAGCTTTGCGGCATTGGATTCTCAATTATTTTGTGGATGACTTTGTTCCCGAGTATGACCTCCGCGGTCATTTCTGTGAGACCATTAATAGCATGTACGATGATGTCAAGTCACGACAGGGCGGTGGCATGAGTGATCTCAAGATCCTCATAGATCTCAAACGCTGCTGGTATGGGAAGTCTTCTCTCTATTGGGACTTTCCGAATGACCACGATGTGTTTCAAAGCCCCGACGTTGCCATCCTTCCGGGTGACCGCGAGGCTGACACTTTGGAGACGGCGGTCGGCGGTGACCTTTTGGCTCTGGTGCGTACCAAAAGCGGGCTGGAAGCTGGCCCTGCGGGCACACTGTACCGTCCGAATCATCACAGCCGAAATAATTCGTCAAACACAGTGAAGAGTGTGCCAATTTCGGCCGGAAGTGACCGGAGTTTTCAGGCGATCTCCTGTTCCTTGCCCCCAAAGTCCCCGAAGCGCCTGTCCTTGTCCTTGGTTAACAAGGCACCCCATCCCGTACCTCTGCCGCTGAAGCCAACTTCCTCACGGGAAGCTTACCCCCCTTCTCCTCTTACTTCGCGCCGCTATCCCTATCATGGACATTCTCACAAGCGCAGCGGCAGCTTCTCTGACTCTGTTCGAGATGACAGGGCACCCTTCTCTCTGGTCAATTTCGATCAACAGGGTGTGATCGCTGGACGGGAGGCGCTTGATCTCAGTAGTCTAATACGAGGAGAGCTCTACCCACCGGCGGAGTCGTACACAATCATGATGGCGCCTCCATCTCCCCCTCTTCCATCCTCAGCTAAGAACCTTGCCTCAGACCGGCGGAGCACCACACACGGCATTCACAAACCGGCCGCTTCAACCTCTGGCGTCAAAACAATCATTGGCTCAATTCGACGGGCATTGAACAGTCGACATGGCGCTTCTGGTAGTCTTTCACGGGCGATGAATGGAGCGGCAAATGCATCTCTTCCGGGGAGGACATCGGCTCTCCCAACTAATGTCGCATTCGGATCAGATGCCTACAGAGGTAGAAAGACGGCGGCAGGGGTGAAAAAGCCCACGAGAATCGATACGCTTTGTGACGAAGTTTTGAAGCAATATCGTGCTGCGATATCCGAACAAACCGATACAACAGGAGGCTCTCGATCTGCCGATTCGCAAAATCATGCAGATCTTCGTTCTTCTGCGCCTGGAATACCGAGAGCGACAAGCCAGGTTACTGCCGGTAGTGAGTCCATTGTCATCGTAGACGGAACAGGCCTGGGATTACCTGTTATGTCTGGCGCTATCGGAGAACCGAATGCAGGACTCCAACAGCCTCCTGGATTTTTGGAGTCGGAGCCATCACCTGCAACAGTGAGAGCTCCATCCCCGTACGGTCCACACCAAAGATCGACCTTAGCAACCGATGAATATTCTTTACCTATCTTCTACGACGAATCCCATCCAGGCCCATCAAGCCGAGCTTCAAAGTTCCTACGCCCCTCTGGATTTTCGGAATCCTCGCGCAGGTCATACTCCGTTGAGCGGGCTTCGATTTCGTGGAAAAGAACGTCATCTTCGTTGCGTTTACGGAAGTATGCTTCCTTCCAAAGTGGAGTCTCGAAGCACCGTCTCACTATGGGAAGTGACTCCATCCCGCCTCTACCCTCTGGAAGCTCGCAGCAGCACTCGGATAAACCATCAGGACCGACACTACGTAGGCGTCCTGGTGGAGACTTGCGTCAAATGCGAAACGGCGGTGGCTTCCAATCCAGGCCTGATTCAGGATCCTTTGTATCCGATATCACATATCGTAGTTCTGGTGCTGACACTGCTGTTACTCGGGTTGAAGAGCCGTATTCGCGGCCCCAGACCAGTCTCATCCCTCCAAACCCTCGATTTTCGCTATTGACGACACACTCGTCCCAGAACCTGCGGCGTTCCTTTGAGGATGCCATTGCACAGTTCGCGCAGATCCCAGATGACGATGATGGGGGTGTTGAGTCAACCTTGTTGAAGCTCGAAGGGAAATGGCATGGGGCGTCTGTTGAGGATGCTGAGGCTTCTGCTGCTGGGACAGATCAACACCTTCAGCACTATGATCCCGGTGAGGTCTCTGGGGAGGAATGGCTTCGTCAGGGCCGTGGTAGTGCAGGACACCACAACTTTGCGAACTCGGATGCGCTGGCTCGGAGACGCCAAACCTTCTTTGGTGATGGTCTGACATACTCGCAAGTTCAGGGGCGCATTGTTCCTCAGCGACCATATTCTGATTCGATCGCGGAGTCCGAAGACTCGTACAGCTCTATACCTCTACTAGAACGGGGACTGAGCGATGAGTCAATGAAGAAGCCCGTCGCTAGCCGCCCGACATCTCATATGGCCGGGCCTTCTCGCTTTCAGCCCAGTTTCTCCAGCCGAGAGACATCGGATATGGAGTCCTCTCACCCCTCTATTGACATTGTGAAGGAGACCGAGAGTATGAAGCGCATTCCGCGAGGCTCAACACTCCCCGGCAATCCCTCTGGGTCGAGAAAACCTACAGGCCGTCTTTCTGGGTTGTCATCTGGGATTTCGATTGATATGATCGATTCGCAAGAAGCTGCAGAGCAACGTTTCTCCATAGATACGCAAAGCATGACCGATTCCTCGCTTGGTATTCCGCCTCATCCGCTCGCTCATCCACCCTCCCCTCCGATGACTGTCCAGAATACACGATCTGTGGGTTCCTGGACGACGCCGTTGAACCCAGTGCTGTTCCAGGCTCAACCATTAACGCCAGATCCTTCTCCCAGAAATAAAATGGCACAGCAAGCAAATACTCGACCCGTCAACACCCAGCAGGTTTCAGGAGATGTTCTTTCCCAGTCAGAAAAGGGTCGCCGATTCCCGGAACCCTTGAAGATTGCCGGTCCCGAGCATGTGCCATTTGTTCTATCGTGCGAATCGCATGTCCTTGCCCAACAACTGACGTTGGTAGAGATGGCTGCCTTGAGCGAAGTTGATTGGAGGGATCTGGTGGATATGCGATGGAGCAGTGGCTCACCCACCATGTTGAGCTGGGTGCAATTCCTCATGGAAGAGGAGCACAGAGGCATTGACCTTGTTGTAGGACGCTTCAACTTGATGGTCAGATGGGTGCTCTCGGAAATTGTCCTCACGCAAGATATCCACGAACGAGCGCGAACGATTGCCAAGTTCATCCACACGGCAGCACATGCAAGGAGAATGTGCAACTATGCCACAATGCTTCAAATTGCCATTGCTCTCTCGTCGACCGACTGTTCTCGCCTTCAGGCTACGTGGGATTTGGTACCCGTTGCTGACAAGCGTCTGCTAAAGGACATGGAATCGCTAACACAGCCCATTCGCAACTTCCACGAGCTTCGCCTCGAGATGGAAATGGCCAATGCGCAAGATGGTTGCATTCCATTTGTTGGTAAGTTTGCTTTCGCCATTGACTCATGGTGACTTTAAAGCTAATCTTGGATGTTTAGGCCTGTATGTCCACGACTTGACGTATAATGCACAGAAGCCAGCACGAGTTACGACACAGGATGGAGAGTCCCTGATCAACTTTGAGCGCTACCGTACCACCGCGAAGATCGTTAAGAGCCTCCTCAGACTGATTGATGCGAGCACCAGGTATCGATTTGAGCCTGTGCCGGGTATCATTGAGCGTTGTCTCTGGATCGCATCGCTGTCGGAGGAGCAAGTCCAGCTGCGCAGTAAGCAGTTGGAGTAGATCTTTTGCCTCAGATCCCAAGAGGCACCGCAAAGAATTGATGAAACACTACAGAAAGAATCAAAAAACAAGACGAGAAGAAAAAAAGAAAAGAAATTTACGAAAGACTTGCATAGAGGAGTTATCCATTCGGGTCACCAGCGCACCTAATATACCCCAAGCATAATCGTCAGTCTATGATTACCAGCGACCAAGATATCCTCGACGAGATTTACTTTTGCGACCAGAGTCGGATTTGGCATTTTGTTATCATGTACATTAGAATTGCATTGTCTGCGAAGGAGGTTATTTTTCTGGATCTTTGGTATTGGTGGTATAATTTGGGGGGGTTATTCTGCATTTTGGGTTCATGAAGCGATATCCGCATGATTAGGGACGATAGGATGGTGGTAGCATTGATATCGAGGCCAATTTATCCCCGTGGAAGGGGAAGGAATACTTTTGGAATAATGTGAAACTCTTGGAAGTAAGCCAACCTGTAATTTGACTAACGGGATGGAGGGAAATCGCAGCAGACTGGAGCGAGTGGAGCGGGCGAGTTTCATCGGCCGGGAACATCCCAATCTCCTCGCTCTCTCTCTCAGGCTGCCGTTCCGCCTTACGTTCTCTCTTCTCCTCTCCCTGAACATCATCTCTCGTGCTCTCATCCCCTCCCCTCGCCCAAATTATTCCCCACCTTCCATCCCACTTACCTTGGGAAACAGAAACTATTCCAAAGGAGGCTGACCCTCCCGTGTGTCCCTGTCCTATTCCTCCTCCATGGAGCGAGAGCCAGAGCTTCTTTGCCCGACTCCCTCCCCTCCCTTCTTTGTTGGTTCCTGACGTTATCGCACTTCCCACCCGCCATGGACGCCTCCGGATCCCCCCGCGGGGCGTCGGACGACCTCGACCGCAGCGACCCCGATCTGGCCGACCACAGCGCGGCACGCAAGTCTTTACACGCTGCAGGTCTCCCGGACGATCTCCCCAAGTCTTTGGACGACCGTCGTTCAGTCCCTCTCATCCAACCCGAAACCGAGATGTATGATGCCTGGCAAGGTGCGTTACTACCTCTCCTTACTGGTCGCGCATGAAGAGGAGCCTACTGCGAGCGACTACATGTGCATGTTTCCTTGGGAGCGCTCGGGGAACTACACGATCCGACAAACCCAGAAGCCCCGCGTGAGATCGAGTATAACGAGAAGTGTAACAGGTGGCTGATCCGTGTCCGCTCCGCAGGCCAATCCCAATTTCTCACCACGCCCGTGGCCGCAAAACCATTGAGCTTCAGTCTAGCCCTCGACGACCATATCCATGACGAAGAACATAATCTACAAGCCCAGTATGGGCGCGGACTGGCCGCATCGACTGACGACGATAACGAATCCACAACCACTGCTCGACTGGAGGACAGTGATGCCCGGTTGATGGAAATGCTTGCTGCGCAGGCGGCTCACCGGGAGGTCGAGTCGCTGGGTGCGGACGAGGAATCCATCGCAACAGACGAGAAGCTATCGGACGCAGAGAAGAAAGATATCTTACAGCGCAGCTTGAACATGGCGGCTAGTAATGGCGACGTGGAACGTGTTCGGAGATTAGTGCAAGGTCATGCAGCTGAATTTGTGGATGTGAATAATCCGGATGAAGAGGGGACGGTGCCGTTGATCTATGCTAGTTGCTTCGTACGTGCCGTCCTTCAGCCATTTTATCTGTTTGGGTATGCGCGAAGCTAACCTTCGTTGTAGGGACACCAGGATGTTGTCTCAGCGCTTCTCGACGCGGGCGCCCATATCGATCAGCAGGACCGGAATCAGTGGAGTGCCTTGATGTGGGCCATGACGAACAGACACAAGACAATCGCGAAGATCCTTCTCGACCATGGCGCGTCTCCAGATATCAAATCCTCGTCGGGCGGGACGGCGTTCGACTTTGCACAACCTGGTAGCGAGATTTCAGAGTATCTCCATGAAAATGGTTATCACTTTGGGCCGAGTGCGATTGAAGACGACTTCTACGATTCCGGGTTTAGGCACGGTCGCTTTGAGGAAGAGATTGCTGAGAATGAAATGAAGCGGCGCATGATGATGGAGGAGAGCGCCATCAATCTTGAGGTGGACCTATCGAGCCTGGGGCTCGACGAGAAGTTTGACGTGAGTGGTTGAGTTGAACATAGTGTCTCAGGCCAGCGCGCTAATCAGACCGTTTGTTGCCCATTATAGTCGTTGGATGAAGAGGAACTCGAAGAAGAACAGCAAGAATTCGTGTGGGATCGGTGTCTGAACGATCAGATGTTCGTCTTCCAGGAGAGCGAGCTAGAGCGGATCCTCAACATCATCATCACCAACATGACACCGCAACGGTCACCCTCGCAGAAGCCCGTTCCCGCGAACCTCCTCTTTCTCAGTGCTCGATATGCGCACTATCATGCGAGTCCCGAATTGCTTGCCAAGCTGCTCGTTTCGGCGACCGAGAAGATCAACGATGTCGTTGAGCGCCATCAGTGGGACATGACGATCCTAGCTTTCTGGATGTCAAATGCGACGTTGTTGCTACATTACTTGAAAAAGGATGGCGGGCTGGTGGAAGCCACGGTGGAATTCCAGCTACACCTGGCCGAATTGATCAATGAAATCTTCATTCTCATCATCCGCGACGCCGAGCGTCGCATGAACAAAGTGCTCGACGCCGCCATGCTGGACCATGAGACTATTCCGGGCCTGGAGGACGTACACTTCCAAAACGAATGGAAGCTCTTCCGCTCCAAATCCAAGAAAGCGCCCGAACCGGCAGAGAAGCGCTTCCGACCCCCATCACCCAGGCGGCGCGCACAGGTCTCTCCGCGCAATATCACCTCTCTTCTCTCCTCTACGCTCTTTGTCCTCGATCTCTACGATGTACACTCCGTCATCACCACGCAGATTATCTCCCAGCTCCTGTACTGGCTTGGAGCTGAAACCTTTAACCGCATCATGTCGACCAAGCGCTACCTGGCCCGGACCAAGGCGATGCAGATTCGCATGAATGTGTCGACCCTAGAGGACTGGGCGCGAAACAACAACCGCCAACCGGAGCATTATGAGAACGGATCGACTAGTAGCACGGGCGAGAGCACAATGGAGTCTGCGCGCCGGCATTTGGCGCCAGTGATCCAGCTCCTACAGTGGCTCCAGTGTTTCTCGTCGCTTGGGGACGATTTTGAGTCACTTGTTACGACTCTGCTCCAGTTGCAGCAACTTACCCCGGCGCAACTCTTGCACGCAGTCAAGTCGTATCGGCCCGAGGTCGGCGAGAAGGGGCTGACCAAGCCGGCCATGAAATTCTTGATTGAGCTGCAGCGTGATCCGGGGCTGCTGTTCCGAGAACAAGCGAAACTCCAGGCACCCAAGCCAACTACCACAGCACCCGAGGCAGGATCTACCGATGGACGCCCTCAGACCCCTCCAGCCTCGACAGCTTCGGAGGCGGCCGGATCACCCTCCACACGAGCTTCGGTGGCATCGCCTGGCTCCAGCGTAGCGTCTCCGCACCCGGGTCCGTCGGCGTGGATGGATGAGCGCAGTAACAATGTATTCCTGGACCCGTCCCTCACGCTTCCCTTCTCGCTGCCCACGAGCACAGATATGCTGATTAGTTACGGGGCGGGCTGGGGCGGCACGAACCGAGAACGCGCGCGCAAGTATATACCGACGGTACCTCCGGAGGTGCTGAGTCGGTTCGACCGGGACCACTAAAGCGCATAAGGAAACAATGGGAGATGCGGAACTGGATACCCTGGCATTGCATTTCTAGTATATATATATAGCTTATATTCATCACTTCCCTGATCTAGCGAGCATGTTTGGAAGCTGGACCTGAAAGATTTCCGCCCACCGGTCCTGGCTGGTTGGTGTACGTCGCTCAATTTGGTGTTACGTAGCGTGTTTTCCCAGCGAAAGAAAAGGTAGAATCTAAGTAAACAAGAAGACCATGAATCCCCAAGAAAGCGGGAATAGAACGATAGGAACAGCAAATAGCAGGAACAAATGACGGAGCGTCAGAGATAAAAAAGAAACCCCGCCCAGCCCACAAGCGAAGAAGATAACGATGAGCAGAAATGTTTCCCCAACGGGGGCTCGGGAGATGAAACGCCAGAGGGCGGGCAAATGATATCTAATCATCTATCTGGTTAGTCCTGTACTCAGTCAGTAGAAGGTTAGTTCCTAACTAGACCAGTTGGTAAGTTAGTTAGTGCGTTAGTCTAGTTCTAGACTTACTGACAGTCAGCCCCAAAAGGGCCGTGCCATGCCATATCCATCCATCCATGCCTTTTGGGCAAGCTCTCCGCTCCACTTTTATCCCTTCTGTTGACGACTACTTTCTCGACTGGGGTGGATGACGAACTAGTAGGTACTCGGTAGATATGTAGGTAGTGCTGGACGGAGAAGAATATTGTGGATATCAAATGAATCAATTAAATCAATCAATCAATCAATCAATCAATCAATCAATCAATCAATCACGGCTGACCAAGATTCATTACGTGGGGAGATTAGTGACTTTCAGTCTAGAACAAACCGTAGGGCCCGCGAAATCGAAATGGGAAATGGATCCAAAAGCATGACGAGTCGCGCACTCCCGTTCGTCGTCATCACCCAACGCCCCCGATTCCTGTCTACGCAAGTGAATCTCCACTTGGGAGGGATGAGATCGCGGTAGATATATAAACTAGTCAAAGGGGCGGAGGGGCAGAAGAGAAGATTAATAAACGGGTAGATAGCATGATATCTGGTCGATTTTAAGCTGTCAGTGCTTTTTACACTCTTTTGCCCTTTTACCTCCTACTTTTTCTCTCTCTCTTCTTTTCCCCCCTGGCTGGCCTGGCACATCCTCAGGCTGTCAAATTCCCGATCCAGATTAGTGCATCGCGGGGACCTGTCCCGATTGGGTAAGTGTGTCTTTCCTGTTTTGGGTGCTTCCCTGTTTGGGCAATTGCGATGCTTTCCTTGTCTTTCCTTGCCTTTTCTATTCTTCCTTCTTTCTTTCTTTTCTTTTCTCTTCCCTTCAGGCTTCATCATTCGCATCCTGTCTTTCGCCTGTCGTTTATTTGGTCTGCTGTATACCCAAACAATTGCTCTCGTGTGGGCTGTTAGCCACTTTCGGTCCCGTTTAGTTTCTCCAGCTGCCCTTCCCCGTGTGCATGAAACCAACTACTACGACGTCTACTTCTATCTACTACTACTACTATTACTACCACCTTCCTTCTACTACTTCCCCCTTCCCTCCCCAGGCAGAAGATGCCTCTGTGCATCCCTTCCCTTTTTCTTCTTCTTCTTCATCCCGCCTCTCTTGGTCTCTTTTGATTTCATCGTTTTCCAATTCCTTTCATGTCTATGTTTGTCGATCATAACTTGAGTGTGGAGCGGTGATCCCCTCGTTATCTTTCTGCCTATCTATCTCCGCAATCTTAGTTTATGCTGTCTGTCGTTTTCTCTACGTCCATTTGAGAATCGGACTTCTTGACCGCTCTCCCCTCCCCCATAATCCAGCCCAATTGAGCCGGATGCAAATCAAGAAAGAATCATGCTGCTCACACTGAAGCCTGCCTCTCAGAACGGAGTTAAAGGTCCTCATGAGTACTCCATTGTTCGCCAGTCCGTTCCAACCCCACGGTCATCCCCGCCCCCCGTGCCTGACCTGCCAGCAGCGGTCACCGCGCCCCCAAGTTCCTCTGCGGACCGCTCCATGGACCCCTCGCGCTCTGGATTGCCGCCTCCTGCCTCGTTAACCTTACCGCCACCCAATGTGGGCTTTGCCAATGTATCTGGCTCTGCCATGAACCAGCCACTCCCGCCGCCCCCGGGCCAATGGCAGTCCTCGGATGACTCCATGCGACAATGGCTCCAGGCCAAAGCGGAGGAGGATCGGAGGAAGCAGGAAGAAGAGAAGACGCGCCAAGAGACCCTACGACTCGAACAGCGGAGGGTCGAGCAAAGCATGCTTCGTGATTCCTTACAGGCTGGTGTCCCACCCCAGATGATCCCGCTCATCTTCGCCGGCATCAGTCCCGGCGGTCTGCCGGCATCGATGCTCGAACTTACTCAACAATACCTTACTCAACCCTCGGCAGCGCGCAGTTCGGCTCCTCAGATGCCTGTCATGTCTCATGCACATCCCCATGCTCAGCGTCGGCCTACGCATGTCCGTCAAGACTCTCGTACCATCCCTTCAAATGCATATGTTGCTCCACCGATGCACCCTCAAACCGTGCCTCCTCCAGGAGTCCTGCTATCCCAGCCATTGCATGCTGTTGGAGCCTCTCCTACCCCGCAACCGCTGGGTCGTCCGTCAGTCTCCAATGGCCCCGCTGATCCACGCTTTACTGTTGCAGCTATCCCTCGCATGAACCCGGGAGAGTCACAGCTCCAACCCCCCATTAATCTCAGCAATGTGCACTATGCCCCGGGATCGTCTATCCCGTCAACTCAGCCGCCCCGGGGCAAGTCAGATTCTTCGGTTCGCCGGTCCCCACCATCCCTATACTTCCACCACTGGGTCCCTCCAGGCCAGACGACAGGACATGCGCCACCGGGAAGAGGCAGGCAGGAATCACCGGGTACCGTGCAGGGATCTCGTCATGTGGACTCCAATGTCTCTCCCGGACGGAAGAGAAAGGCCCATGGGGCACACCATCCAGCTCCATTGCCCTCGTCTCGTCTCCCAGAATCCTTCCCTGGCTCCTCGCAGACATCTCAGCCAGGGTCTCCGGGCCCAGAATACCACTTTGAGCAAGCAGCACCACCGACACACCACCATCACTCTCTTCCAAGATCGAGTGACGCGTCTGCTTCGTACCAGATTCTGGCGGAAGATGTGAAACGTGAGCACCGCAGTCGAGGTACTAGCCCGACTCACTCATCAGAACGTATGAATGTGGACGATGCTAGACCGACAGAACGTGATCGAGCAGATGAGGAGGAACATTATCAAGAGACAACTACTTCTGCAGGACATGCTTCACCCCACACAGCTCGGGTACAGCGCAGTGAGGCAGCATCTTATCACGATCCTCGCAGCAGTCCTGCCCGTTCACCAACAAGGACTCTGCAGCCGTCCAAAGAGTATAATCTCGCCTCGGGAGACTAGGATCTATGTGACTTCAGTGGAAAATCGTTGCCGTCTCCGACAGCGCATTTCAATTTGAGACAAGTGACGTCCCACATTCCGATCCATCGCCCCCTTCACATCTACAAGCTGCAGGATAGCAGCCGCACGGAAGGTTGTCTATCACAACTTTGCCATTCTTTCTTTCCAAGAATTACTTCTCTTGTTTCAAGCGTTTGTGGATTTGCTGCAGATACCATTCCTCATTGCGTTCCTCTTCTCCTGTTCGTTTTCGATTCTTTTCGTATACCATATCGATATATGGATTACCCTCGACTGGATCGCGGCGGTTACCAGGAATCTGGTCCATTTCTGAGCTCTGTTGTCCTGCAGCTGGGCTGATGGGACTGACCAAAAGTCTTGGGATATATATTGATACCACAGTGCGCATGATTAGCTTTTCTAGAGGGTGGGTTTGGGTTTGTACGGAATACAATCGGCATGTTGCTTTGGTGGAGACGTATTGGAGAAATGTTGCCGGTATTTTATTAGGAATCTTTACAGTCAACTACTTATAGTTACAGATGCGACTCTAGTAGACGAGGGACTAGCTAGCTACATAGGCAAGACCAGGGTCGATAGATAGATAGATAGATGGATAGACTGCCGGGATGGATCCCGCACAACAATAACTGTGGCGGTTACTACCTGACAGCTGAATGAGACAAATAAGACATCAACAACGTAAAAGAGAGACCACGAAGTAACGCAAGATGAAACAGACATACAGACAACAAAGAAAACAGCGATAACGATAGAAGAGAAAATAAAAGGGGTATCAGAGTCAACAACAAGGTATTAAGTATGTAGTTGGTTTGGTCCCTAGTATATAGGAAATGATAGGTAGTGTGCAGTGTGCAGTGTGCAGTGTAGCAGAAACCAGAAGCAGATGGACGAAGACAGACAGCAAAGGAAAATATCAAAGGGAAGGGCCAGTAGATGTATAGAGAGAGAGATAGACCAGACAAGACAAGGAAATTGATTTGGGAATGAAAGTTCAAAAGTGGGAGGAGTTATATAGTGAGAGGGTTTATGTATGGGTGTATGGATATGTATGTGCGTGTTAGACCTGACTGGTGACACCTCCTCAAACAGCCAATTCCGTGCATTGGGAGTTTTCAGAGGGATATGGGTAGATATGGATGTGTGTATATATCCATTGTGTATCTGTGTATCCGTGTCTGCATCGAGAGTGGGCAGGTGACAGGCATATAAACACGTTTTCCATCTTGCGAGAAGAAGAGCCGAAGTGGGTGTATGTAGGGTATGTATTAGAGATGAAGCGAGAGTGCGCGTATGTATGTGTGTAATGTATGTGACAGAGCGAGTATGTATGTATGTATGTATGTTGCATGTTGTATGTATGTATGAGATCCATTCGTAGTTCGAGAAACACAGACAAACAAGATTTTTGTCTGTTGTTGTTGTTGTTGTCGTCGAACGAGGTAGAGTGAGTGATTGGTATCGTGATGTGAGAGCCGTCAAAGAAAAGTAGTCCATGAAATAAAAATGTAAAAGAGAAGTAAGTAGCAATGTCGGAGAAGAAGAATAACCGTATTATAAATAAATGAAAGAAACAAAACGACTTTTGTTCATTCATCAAGAATTCGTCGGGTCGAATCGTAAAAGTGGGTAAGGTGTAGAGGGTTGCGGATCGGGTGAGTATATTATAAGGTAGGGTTGTGCTGTATGTATTATTGAAGTGAATCTGCGGATCTAGTCCGCGCCGTAGATAGAGGTCGTCACATCACGTCACTTGTGTACTTGCTTTGCTGCTGCGGCTGCTCACAGCAAAGTCACTAAGAGGCCTTTTTCCGACGGTGCACTTTCCACTCTGCTTTGGCGACACGCATGAATAGCTCGATGTCCTTGATGGGAACCCAGCTGGTGAGGACTTTCATGGCGTTTTCGAAGTCGGATTCAAGGATAATGTCGCGCATGCCATCAATCAGGGCGGCGGAGGTCGCGTGAAGAACATCCAGTCCGTTTCCAAAGGCACTGGTGGATGCCTCTTTCTTGCTGCCTTTGCCTGAGGAGCCGGGTGCCGTGAGGTCCTCGGCATCACCGAGAAGCATGAAGACGTCCCAGACGCGGAGTTGAGCGGGGAACGGGATAGAGTAGTTGAAAAGGGTCAGATACCACCGTGTGCCGTATGCTGTGGGAGGAATTCCAAGCTCATTCTAAGTTCTGGTTAGGAAACGGTGTACCGAGAGATATGGGAGAATGCTGTTTGACTTACCAGCTTGGCAGCTACCTCTCCTTTTTCTAGCCACTCACGTTCAAAATCCCCCAAGGCCTCCATGAGGCCTGAAAAGCCGGACTGGTACAGACGCTCCAGACCTCGTAATTGCCACAGTCGTACGAGCATGATAAATGCGTGTTCTTCGTCGTAGTAGGCGAGGAGGGTCGCAGCAAGAGCAGCCATGCCCTGGACGTATCCCGTGTCTGGAAAGTACAAGGACATTGCGTGGAGTACTCGGAATAATAGTCGTTGGCCTCCGCGATACCGTCGCCGGAACATGATGTGACTGGTGATGGTTCTCGGGACGTCGATATCAATCTGGACATCATCGGGCGATGAAACCAATTGGAACTCGTTGAACGCTTCGATTAGCTCCTCTTCTGAAGGGCTATCACTGTGCAATCTGGCGCTGGCTTTCAAAAAGGCGTACCAAGCGGTAGCTCGCCATCGGTCAGGGATGCCTTTCCATGTCCGCTCAATCAGCTTGGAGCTTGTCGTGTCGAACTCGAATGTCATGCCACCGCCATCTCCGCTCCGCATCGGGCGGGCCATTTTTGTCCATTTATCTTCTCTCTCCCACTCTTTCTTTCTCGCCGCGCGGGCGGCAGCTGCGTCCTGTTTCTCGCCCGGATTCAGAGGAGCTGTCGGGTGGGTGAGCATATCGCTTGCCTCATCTTTGACGCGGCGGTCGCGATTGTGTGGCAGATGATTGGCGGCCCGACGGAACCGCGAGGTTGATCGCCGCATCATCGTCGTACTATACATGCTGTGAGAGGAGGTTGGCCGTATTGAAGGCTCAGACATCTTGCGCGTTGGGGAGCGGCCTGTGAGGCCGGAAAAGGAACGATTTCCTCCAATGGCGGAGGGTGGACGGATGGAGTGTTTCCGTCGCGGTGTCTCAGAAGCCATAAGTAGGCTGGTAGAGACGCGCTGGATGGGACTGGGGTCAATGCCCTCGTTGGAGTTGGACGTTGGTGAGCGGATGAATCCGTATCGGTCGACGTCTCCGGCCTTGATATTCTGCCAGTACTCAATGCCTCCAGCTAGCTCGTGGGCCTCTCTTTTGATCGTTGGTCCATTCTCTGGACCGAGAGACGACACCACACTTTTGGTATCCACTGACACACTGGGTCCAGAAAGACGAGAGGTCTCCATACTGGTTGGGGTATCTTCCCACAAAATGCCATTCTCCATGGCCATGGACTTCGCTACTTCTGAGTCTGTCACATTTTCTTCACCCTTCTCATACATCAGCCGTACCCGTCGCGACAACATATCTTCGTCTGCAGAGATGGCTCTGCTTGCCATGGCGCTGTGCCTGACTCGGAGGGTCGAGACGGGCTTTGACCGCCTCGATGGCGTCTCAATAGTCTCCGGCTCTGTGCTATTTTGTTCCGACGAAGCGACATCAGGTGACGCCGGTTCTCTGTCATCAGGTACCCGTTGTTGCTCACTGTCTCCATCGTGGGTCTGTTGGCCCGCCTCTCGTCGTCTTGCTTCCTCTTGTTCGATTTGCTGTTGTAATTGGCGTTTCGATTCCTCCTTGATAAGACTTCCGCGCTTGGAGAAACGCATTGATTGCGCTCCGAGGCCATCAAGAGCCGAATTCGGGATATCGAGAGCGATGCCATTGAAGGGAGCTTGAATCGGCGGTACAGGGGGGGTATCTTCATCACGATCGAATTCGCCCGACTTCTTACTTCTCAGACCGCCCCATCTGCGCTCCGACCACCGCGAACCAGGACGGGATCCTGGGCGGGATGCAGGACGGGAGGCGGTATCATTGACAATGATACTGGGGATGCTATTGCGCAGCGAGCGCAAGCTCACGGTCGAGGCCCCAGCCTCTGGTAAGGCAGTGAACCTGTTCCGCCGCGATCTGGCATTGTGTTGCGACGGCGCGGACCCCGACTGATCCCAAGCACTACCGGACGATGCGCTGTGCGATCTTTCCTCCGAGCACGAAGTACAATCCACTGGGGTAGGGTATGAGGCAGAACGAACGGCGATCGGGGCTGTGGCGGCGATGGTGTCGTCGTAGGGAACGGTCTGGATGGTTGAGGTGGAGTCGGACATCACGACAGCAGGGACAGAAGCGGATCGCGTTTCTACCATTATCCTGGCATCGCTTGCGCCTTAACTCGAGGGATGGGGAAATACGTTCTGGACGGAGCTGCGAAGGGCTTTTGAGCCTTCTGGACGAGCCGGGCGAGACGGTGGTGCACGCTGGATTAACCAAGGGGGGGCGAGGGCGCGAGCGAAGGAGGGAGGGACAGGGAGGGAGGCGGGGAGCGATAGCAGGACTGTAGCCACAAAGGAACGGGATGTGAGAACTGGTATTCTGGCACGAAAGAAGGGTCACGGCTTGCGATTGATTAAGATTTGGAAATTATTAGGATTAAGATTAAACGGTCACACAACGGAAAATGAACGACACTGGGGGGAAGAGGTCTCTTGCGCAGCGAACCATGGCCCCCAAATGGTTGCGAGGAACGGAAGGCGGACGAGCAAAGGGAAAGACGGAGGGCAGAAGAATGGCTGGACCGCGGCAAGAAAAAAAAAACAAAATAAAATAAAAATGAGAAAAGAGCAAGCAAAAGAGAGTGTCTGTCAAGTCAGAGCCAGGCTTGGCGAAGGCGATAGCTTTCCAAATAATAATGATGATAAAAAGCAAGAATGATGAAAAGTAGAAGGGGAAAAAAAAAAGAAAATAGAAAAACAAAAGACGATGGAGCGAGAATTGAAGGAGAGAACGTTGAGAACCAAAGAATGTGGTCACAATGAGGTGTATCTTGTTCTCGCACTGGCAATTGGAGAATGAGGAAGCGGAAAGTGGAATGGAGAATCTCACCCTCCCGTTGGTTTTGTATTGGCTGAAAGGAGTGTCTACTTGGAGTAGTCGTAGTAATAATAGTTGTTGTTCATGAGTAGTAGAAATAGTAGTGTATCACGAATTATTATCCTACCAGGAGTTCAACCCTGAGAATTCCCTCCTGTTCAAACTTCCCGGTTCTAAAACGAAACCGAAGAGAGGGGGAAAAAAAAATAAAAATAAGAATAAAAATTAAAGGAACGAGGACGACGACAACAACAACGTCTCCTTGTCTTCAACCAACTCCAAAGGCAAGGATCACGAAGGGGGGCCTGCGATCCACTATATAATTAATTTAGTATCATTTAATTCCTCGGGAGGGCCACGCAGCAGTGGATCTTCACACGGTTAATTTTACGTTGGACTTCCCAGATTTTGATAATAATAGAAATGGATACACTGCTAGTATCTAGCAGGACTCCAGTCAATCCTTTGGTACGGGGAATGTGAGAGAGAGAGAGAGAGAGAGAGAGACTGTGCGTGTTTGTGTGTGTGCGTGGGATTGCACCTAATTGTTCTTGTCCAGTATTCTGTTTTTACTTTATTTTATTTTCTGTTATTATTCCTCCTATCTTCAAATTGAGGGAACTTAATCCCACGCCAAACAGGCAACGTAACGGTTTGTTCGCTTGCTGGCTTTATCACTACTCCAAGAGTTCAAAAACTACTTACTGACTAGTCACGGATTTGACTGTTTGACGGGCTGATCTTCTTCCCCCTCGTTTTGCGCACAAACCACCAAGATTGAAACTGGAAATTGGGGCTCTTCTCTTACTCTCCTTCCTCGCCTATCATGAGAGAAGCAATTACATCCTATCTGACCTAACTCTGATAGAGTTCATTCCTACTAACTATCTACAAAATCTTGTACCTGTTTGCTTTTCTCTCTCCTCCCTTTTGCGTTTGGATTTTTGGGCTTGTAATTTGGTATTTTTCACTTTCCGGCCCCGTAGGGGATAGCGTCGGCTCTCTCCCTACTCCTAGTCGACTACTAATCTTTTAGGTTGCAAGATAGACAGCATGAGTGGATGATAGTGACCGGCTGAGGAAAGGGGAAACGTCAGTCTCTCACTAATATTTTCCTACTAGAAAGTACACTAGCAGTGGCTTCGCTCCCTCCCCCTTGACAGAGAGGAAGGAGGGGGTAAGTTGTTGCTCGGGTGAAGAATTCAGTCAGGTCTGTGTGAAATTCTCCGTCCTTTGTCTAGTACTAGTCGTCTACTAGTAGTAGCAGTCCTGCAATCCTACATTATTATATGCATGGATGATAAACTTACAGTTCCCGGTTTTTATTTCCAGGATCTCTACAGCGTAGTTACTAGTAGTATCCCGTAAACGCTCTGATCCACTTCCATGATTTGCCTACTGACTTTATCTACATCCCGCGTTACTTACATGCAAGGACTGCTGCCCTTTGGGGCGATTCTTTATTCTCGTGCACTTCTTTCTCCTTTCTGCCCTTCGCCTTCTGCCGATTTTCAGGTTTTAAAATCAAACCCTAATTTCTGTCTCCTTTCTTTCCCTTTAGATTGTGACAACCCACTGTAAAACTCCGAGAAGGCTAGAAACCAGCTCGCCTTCAATGCAAACAAACGGCACCGCGGCCTTAGCGTGCCCCCAGTGCACACGGCCCTCCGACGCAGACCCGCACATAGTCGACAAAGGACAAGCAGGGGTAAAAAGCATATTGGCACGGGAGGATCGATAGATTGGCCGTTTCCCTGCCAATGGTCGCAGCTTAATTCTCGACTCCTAGGCCTTCAGGCCACTGCTGCCGTGTTGATGCCGGAGCGAGACGCTTCGCGCGCGGAGCGTGCTGGCTCAATCGGCTCCTTGGGGAGAAGCTCGATCTGGCGCACCAGGAAACTCTTCTCATCCGTAAATTGATCGTCGTCCGTCCGGTCCTCTAGGAACCTCGGTAAGAATTTCAACAGCCGATCACGGTTGTTGATCAAAATCCGCTGCACCGCAACCGATTTATTGGGGTTGGCAACAAATACCTGTAATGTAATAACGGTCAGTGGCCTGGATCCTTGCAGCGGACCAAGCTGGAATCTGCCCACATACCTTGAACACGTGGAAGCCTTCGTACTGGACCATCTTTCGGTCGTCCCGCAGCAGTTTCATACACAACTTGAGATTCTCCCCACTCTCCACATAGGCCATCATCACATTGTAGTTGGTTCGGTCCAGGAGGATCTCTCCTAGTAGCTTGATGCTTTGTCGTTTCGTGACATACGAGCTTGACTGAACAAGTACTTCGTTGAATTTGGAGAAGAAGAGATCAAAGTTCGTGGCTAGATAACCCGTAACGATGGATTTATGGCGGGTCAATATCTCCTGCACATCAGTTAGCTTCCGAGACGACATGGTTCCCAAGGCTGACACAAACACTCACCCTAAACGTTGTGAAAGAGTCGGCACTCAGTTCGAAGCTCCCTCGGTCGATCCAGTAGAAGAACCTCCAGAATATACCATTGCCCTCTTGAGGCACGCCTGGCTGGACCTCCGTCAGGCGAATCGCTGGCTCCCCGTCTTCCGACTGGTCATAGAGGATGATCGCCGCGATAACATCAAACTTCAGCGCTTCTCGCAAGATAGTGCCGCATGGCATGGCACTTTGGCTATGTTCATAGCCCTTGCACAGTTCGATGATGATTTCGGGTCGTTTGTGGACAATGTAGGAAATGACAGGAGGGTCTGCATGGTTTGCATTGACAGGTTTGAAACGGAGGATGTGTGAGAAGATGGTTTGTGTGTCTTTCCGGGCTTCGAAGGGCAGGCGATGAAGCCCTTGGGCTAGTTCGTAGAGCAAGTCTTCCTGCAGGGTAGCCTGCACCAATGCCTGGACTTGTTCGGGGGACACCTCGATTTCTGAAAGGCAAGCTCACATCAGCCGAGGTACATTTAGAAGCCCTTCTCTGCTCCTGCACTTGTTCCGGGAGAAAGAGAGCCATTGGTAGGGGTTCATGCATGAGACATACCTTGAGTACCCTGGACAATAAGTTTCATCTGAGATAGTTGCTTCGCCAGCTCATCTTCGACCTGTCGGAGTACGGAATGGGGTCAGTACTCCTTTGTTTTGAAAGCTGCTTATCGGCAACCGTAGACGTAAACATAACAGATCTGAGCGACGAACCTTGGCAGTGGTTGGCGATTCTCGAAGCCTCACCAAGAGTTCTTTAATTGATCTGGCAATGTCCGAAGGCTGGCGGGACCGACCGCGGTTGAAGAAGAAGGCCATGGTTGTTTGTATTGGCAACAAAACCAAAACAGGGAGGGAGTGAAGGCGGAGGGGATAGTGGCTCCTCGCGGGCAGCACACCAGCTAGAGGGACATGTAAGGGAGAGTAGGTCAAACAAACAGAGTGTCACGGACTCTCTGCAGCTGCAACGGTAATAACAGTGGACTTCAAGGGGGGATATCTGGCAGGCGAGCAAGAGGGATTGTTGGTCTAGGATGCTGTGAGGGAAGCGGTGACGCTGTTGTTGGCGGGGAAGCCGACGGCCTCAGGCTGTTATCGCAGTTCTGGGCCCGTCAGGTGGATAAACAATCGAGTCCCAAGCCGGCGGGGCTGCTGCCTTTTCCGAGAATTTTCTAATTTTCTCCCCTCGAATTTTTTGACTTTTTTTTCTCCGGCGGGATTCTCGACTCTACCCCTCCTCAGGTACTTCCATACAGAATTCTGTCGGCAGCAACCATTTGCTTCGACATCCTCGTTCTGTTTCTTTGCGATATCTAGTGACGGTGTCTTTGGATCAATCTCATTTGGTTGACGCTTAAGACGATCCATATCAGTCCCGCTCCTACAAAAATAACCGTCTCAATTGGTTTTGTTTCCCCGCAGTTGCGCCATGTCTGCTTCCGCCCTCCCCTCTGAGCGTCTGCCCAGAGACGATGATGCACGCTCCGTCTCTTCCGATGGCTCGGATGTAAGCAACGAGGAAGGATGGGAAGATGTCGAGCCCGATGATGATACCCAGCCCGTCGTTGGCTTGTTCTCCGAGAAGGTCTACCCCGACGTGCGGGCCATGCTCAAGGAGACCAAAGAAAAGTACAACTTTGACCTACGGAGGATTCAAAAGGAGCTCGGTGTGTAGTCAATTGTACTTCGATTTAGCATCTGATATTTCCCTCCGTTGCGCAAACCCGGACGAATGTCTGTTGGACGTTACACTTGATATGAATTATGGCTAACCTATCTCAACTTGTGTTTCGCTATCAGACTTGGACTTCCTGGGCACGATCAAGTTGGTCAACTATGTCCGGACTCAGGTGAAGGAAGGCAACATGTCTCCCGACGTCTCTTCCACCGACAAATTCGAGGATGATGCTTATCTGAAGCCCGTGCTGGAGGACGATGCCCTTCTCTACAGTCTGGATGACATTGAGGACGAAACCCCCGAGACAACTGGTGGTTCTGACGCTGAAAGACGCGTGATCGAGCTCCAGGAAGACTTAGAACGCCTTCAGACCCAGTTCTCCGAATATAGAGAGGCCGTGCAGAAGTCTATGGAAGAGCAACTGACCAAGGAGGATGAGAAGCTTGGTTCTACCCTCAGTGCTGCGTCCGCTCAAAAGGCCGCTAACAGGGTCGAAGAAATTGATGCGGATTACTTCACTTCCTACGCCTACAACGGTATGTTTTTCCTGACCCTGGGGCTGCTTGGTTTCTTCTACTAACGCGCTGCCCATCTAGGAATTCACGAGTCCATGCTTAAGGATACCATCCGCACTGATTCCTACCGCGACTTCGTATATGAGAACAAACACGTGTTCAAGGATAAGGTTGTCCTTGATGTCGGTTGCGGAACTGGCATTCTGTCAATGTTCTGTGCGAAGGCCGGTGCGAAGAAGGTTATCTCGGTCGACAATTCCAACATCATCGATAGAGCCAAGGAAATCATCTATGAGAATGGGTTCGGTGATATCATAACGTATGTTTCGCAGTATCTTTGTTTCCTCCAGTTGCGCGACTGACAGCTGATGTCTGAACTTCCAGGTGCATCCGCGGTAAAATTGAGGAAGTCACGCTGCCAGTCCAGCAAGTTGACATAATCATCTCCGAATGGATGGGCTACGGTTTATTGTTCGAGGCCATGTTTGACTCGGTCATTTACGCTCGGGACCGCTATCTCGCCCCCGGAGGACTCATGGTTCCCTCGCACGCTACGCTCCGCGTTGCTCCTTTCGCCGACCCTGACTTCATCGCAAACCACATCTCATTCTGGAAGAGCGTGTACGGCTTCAATATGAGCAGCATGCTGACTGGTATCTATGATGAAGCTCTGGTCCGTACCGTGGAGCCATCGTCGATCCCTGGCCAATCTGCCGTTTTCCTTCCCCTTCCTCTACATACCATCACTGTTGAGGAGCTGTCGTTCCTGAAGGAATTCCAGGTCACTCTTACTGAGGACATTGACGCGCTGGACGGTTTTGCTATCTGGTTCGATATCTTTTTCATGCCCTCGAGGGACTCACCGATTGCGGACGACGCCGTTCCTTCCGAAATGCAGAAGAAGGGCATCGTCGCTTTCACCACGGGACCTTATGGTAAAGAGACGCACTGGCAGCAGAGTATTCTTCTCATCGATCATGAGAAGAGGAAGGGCGTTCCCTTGAAGAAGGGCCAGACCATTACTGGAAAGGTGGGCTACCAGAAGAAGTCGGAGAAGTCCCGCTCCTTGGATATTACCATCGAATGGGATAGCCAGGATGCCGAAAAGGGCTCCCAGAAATGGGGTCTGCAATAAGCTGCAGGTCTCGTTGCAGACTCATCTCCTGTGGGAGTAGATAGATAGTTCTCGCAATGCGTTAGTCATAAACAAGGCTCGCCACCTGCTTCAGTCGACTAAGAGTACGACTCAACGAACGTAGCTTTAGATCGTGTACTAGAGGGCCTAGGATTGTAAGCTGCCCATGAAGTCCTGGTGTGGGTGCGGATCTGGACCCTTCAGCGTCTCGATCGGGAGTCTTCATCATGGCGTCTAGTTTCCCTGTGTCGACGGTGTCGATCATGATGAGAACGATGAGACCGCGAATCAGAATGAGAGGGTCGTCGATGCGAACGATCTCGACTTCTATCTCTACGATGCCGATGGTGCCGATGGGATCTTCCGTCCCTGTCATCTCGACGCCTATCCGGAGAAGGATCGAGTCTAAAGCCTTCGAGGCTATCCTGCGATGGCGACCTCCTACTGCGGTGAGAAGATCGACGCTTTTCTGAAGCCTTCAGAGCTTCCAGCTCTCGACCTCGTTCCTCGTTCCACCTTTTCCTCTCCTGCTCAACCGCCTTCAACTGACGGACGCCCTTTCTCATCGCCGCGAGTGGATCATTTGCATCCATCCGGGCCTTCTCCCTTTCTCTCCTTAACGGGTCCTCATTTCCCCAAACATCCTTGCTTGGCATAGATTCAGCAGCTGCACCCTCGCGTTGCGAAGACGAGTACCAAGGGTCTTGCCCAACAGGCTGCCGAAACCCCGCCGCGTTGGAGAATCGCATCGTGTATTGGTCTTCAAGTTCTCGTTCCTTTTCTTTCGCCTCCTTTTCTGCCTCTGCATTCTTTTCCACAGGCTTGTGCTTCGCCTCCGAAGGAAACAGATCAATGTGACCAGTACTATCATGAAGTGGCGCATCGCTTGACCGAGCGGCGGCTTGTTGTTCCCGTCTATCCAGCGCCAACCGTGCATCTTCCTGTGCAAATCTAATATCTCTATCCGTGTCATCCTCTCCTGCTAAGCGCCTTCTCTTTCTAAAGCGGCCTGCATCCTCTGTATGACTTTTCCGGTCTTGTGGGCGGGCGGACGGCGCTGGGGGCGGCGGAGGTGGAGTCGAAGGTCGTTCACCGCGGAGTATCTGAATCCTTCGTTCAGCATCAGCTTCCTGCATGAGACGCTCTTCCTCCTCTTCTTGGGCTTTGGCCTGGGCCTCGTCGCGCCGAACGCGCTCGATGTTCGCTGGGTTGTAGACGTTCCATGACTTCTTGCCGAGGAGGTGACTGCAAAAGGACACTGTAAGTACTCAAGCATGGCAAGACAGGTAGCAGAGGGTATACTGACAGAGGCATATTTAAGATGTGGGGATATGATGAACTGGAGGGGATGAATGTATCAGATCTCCCTCCGGGGTGTGTGAACGAGGAGCAGCGTCATCCAGACCGGTCGGCGAAGACGGAGGTGGGCGGACCGACCGATGGGGCGGGAACCCTGGGTACCTTACCTACGGTCCATGTGTCGCGGGCGCTGGAGCTTCCCCCCCATCCAATGTGAGACCGCCACCTCTCAACTATTCTTCTTTCTCACCATCCTCTACCTCACTTTTTCTTCCCTATACTTAACTGCCTATACTCAGCTTCACTTATTGCGTTTGTACTCATATACTATCTAGTCATAATCTGGTCATCCGAGTACTCAACCCTCAAGGCAACAGCTGCTGGCAGCATCGCTTCGCCACCTTCAACCAGCCTATAAATACCCCGTTCTCGTCTGGAAACTCATTGCATTTCCTCTTAATACGCAACTCAAAGTTCTCCCCTACTTGGATTGAAGATGTTCAATCGCAACAACTATCCTTCGGTCCCTAACCCTTTCGGCTCCCGCCCCTCTCGAGGCGACGGTTATACCACCCCAGCTCAAGGACAGAACCCCTACCCCTCCAGGTCGGGCGCAAGGTATGGGCCTTATACTGCATAATAATGAAACGACAATGACTGATATGCTTGATAAATAGTCCTGCAGGATACGGAGCGCCACCCCAGTATACGGGAAGACCGCCTCAAATGCCTCCGAGGAACCCCGTTGGAGAGAAGTCCGTGAGCTCAGGCCGATCCTGGACGCTACGTCCTACAAAGAGCCCGGATAATACGTATACGTTTGGAAACTTGTACGTTCAAGTGTGGTCGCTGTCTTACTTGCCCTTCTTTTAACCATGTCTAGAGTTGCCGTTTCCGCCCAGGAATTCCCACCCTCCCGCGATGGACACGATCTCCTCCTACTCATCAACGGCCTCTATGTCTTCTCCGCACGCCCTCTCGACGGGTTCCCCCCGGGACAAATCAGCATGTCTGATCCTCAGCGGACCTGGGCTGGTGTCGCTTTCACGGATACCGTTTCGGTGCAAATCTACGATCCCTTCAGTCAGGGCGGACAGGCCTACGTCGGTTCTACAGATATTGAGGTTGGGTTTGCTGGGAAGAAGCGAGTGGAGACTCCATATGATCAAGATGAGCTGGCAAGCGTGGTGATCAAGGTACCTTCCCCTTCTTCCGGTGGAATAAGAGCAGCGCCTGATGTGTACAGAACTTCGAAAACCAAATTTTCGCCCCCGGCCAAAAGATTTTGATGGATCATCGAAGCATCCCACTCCTGTTGACCGTCAAGACCGTTCAGAGGGTCGATCTGTCCTCTGAGACTGCCAGCGGTGGCAGTGTCGAGACGGACCCTACGGCGCGGGGTATTCTCACCAGGCACTCTCAGATTACGTTCTTCAAGGACGCTAGTACTGGTATCAACATGAAGCCTTCGAACCGCCGACCAGCGGCGAACTCCATCATCCAACCTGACTTCAAGTTCGAGAACATGGGCATTGGTGGTCTTGATTCCGAGTTCAGCACCATCTTCCGTCGTGCGTTCGCGTCCCGTATCTTCCCTCCGGGGCTGGTGGAGAAATTGGGACTTCAGCACGTTAAGGGTATCCTGCTTTATGGCCCTCCAGGAACGGGTAAAACATTGATTGCTCGTCAGATCGGAAAGATGCTGAATGCCAGGGAGCCTAAGGTCATCAACGGACCGGAAGTACTTAACAAGTACGTTGGTCAGTCTGAAGAGAACATTCGTAAGATGTTCGCAGACGCCGAAAAGGAATACAAAGAAAAGGGAGATGAAAGTGGTCTTCACATCATCATCTTTGATGAACTGGACGCCGTCTGCAAGCAGCGTGGCAGTGGAGCCGGAGGTGGTACAGGTGTTGGTGATAGTGTGGTGAACCAGCTGCTCTCGAAGCTGGATGGTGTGGATCAGCTCAACAACATTCTGCTTATCGGAATGACCAACAGAAAGGACATGATTGATGAGGCACTGTTGCGTCCTGGTCGTCTCGAAGTTCATATGGAGATCTCCCTTCCTGACGAGAAAGGCCGAGCCCAGATTCTTAAGATTCACACCCAAAAGATGCGGGATAACGACGTCATGGACGACGATGTGGACTTGGCTGAGCTGGCCCTGATGACCAAGAACTTTTCTGGTGCTGAAATATCTGGACTTGTGAAGTCCGCATCTTCTTTTGCATTCTCCCGGCATATAAAGGCGGGTACGACGGCCAGTATCAGCGACGATGTGGTGAACATGAAGGTCAACCGGTCCGACTTCCACCATGCGTTGGAAGAGGTCACACCCGCGTTTGGTGTCTCCGAAGAAGAGCTCTCTAGTCGCATTCAACATGGTATCACCCACTTCTCCCCCGTTATCAATGAAATTCTTAAGGAGGGTGGCCTGTTCGTCAAGCAAGTTGGCGAGGATGAATCGTCGCCCTTGTTTTCGGTCTTGCTACATGGGCCCACTGCAAGTGGCAAGACGGCTCTCGCAGCTCGAATTGCTATTGACTCTGGATTCCCTTTTATCAAGTTGATCAGTCCCGAGGACATGGGCGGCTTCAGCGAGACGGCAAAGGTTCAGCGCATCATCAAAGTCTTCGACGATGCTTATAAGAGTCGCACAAGTGTTGTCGTCATCGACAACCTTGAGAAACTCATCGAGTGGGTTCCTGTCGGCCCTCGCTTCAGCAACACAATCTTGCAGACTCTGCAGGCCGTGTTGAGGAAGCATCCCAACAAGGGTCGCCGGCTCTTGATTATAGCAACCACGACGCAGAGATTTGTGATGAAGCAGCTTGATTTGTTCAGCTCCTTTGATGCCGATATCATGGTTCCAAACGTTATGACATACGATGAGCTAAAGCACATCTTGCAGAGTTCCGGCGCATTTGACGAGCAGGAAATCGGGCAGGCCCTTGCAGGAATTGGCAGTATTTCCGATGACGGAACCATTGGGGTGGGTGTGAAGAAGATCTTCAGTGGTATTCAGACGGCAAAGAAAGATGTGGATAAGGTTGGTCGCTTCGTGCAGGTTATCAACAACGCTATTGAGGCAGAGCGTTCTGGTGCTTAGAGAGGGCTTGCTCTCTCTTGGGTGTGAGACTACCTAAGGATTGTTGCTACGTTGGCTATTCGCTTGTAAGCTTAATTAGATGCTAATTTTAAACAATAACACTAGAACACGGTGCGTTTAAAGATGGTGGTTTTTTCCAACCGAGACTTGCTGTAATCTGGTTTACTGAGCTGCGGCGTAATAGTAGAACACCACGGAGACCCTTGCTGTACGAGAAAAGAAAGCTCTCTTCCCAGCGTAGCATAGAGGCCACGACATTGATCCCTCCATCTGTTGCGGACGTCTGTCCTACCTGGAGGCAGGCACCCTTCGAAGGAAGCCTGAGGGACTAATTCTCCATTAGTAGCTGGATATTAGACCCAATTTAGGCTGCATGCCAAAACGTCACACGAACTGAAAAACGGAACGATACTACCCCTGCCCCATGAGTGCAATATTGGCTTTTGACTTCTGTAATAAATCTAGTCACAGCCTTAGCTGCAGGATGACACTGCTTTTGCTTAGAATACAGTTCTTTCCATGTTTATCTCATTGTCAGAGCGGATCCTCATATTTCTCGTGTTAATCCTGGCCCTCGGTTGCATCTAGCCCAGCGGTCTCTACATCTTTCCTTGACTATATGGTATCTATGGAAGATTCCGCTCTGTTTGTGCCACTCTCACATAAGAGGTCAAAGCTCCAACCCATTCCTGCTGAATACTAAATATAATATCTGCTTAGATGTCCTTATAAGGCGACTTATTTGGGAGCACGCAGAGTCAAGACACCTTGATGGTAGGTAGAGCACACCGCCTGCGTTGCTGCCGTGCGCAAAAGTGACTGTATGATGTATAGGAGTGAATAACTTACAATAACGTGAATTGTATTCTTTCAAGATAGTGCGGCAGGAAACTGATTCCCTCGTCCGCTTCACTTCGCGGCTCGACACACGCCTTCCCTCTTCCCTCCCATTTCCAACTTCTGTGTTTCTTTTTCTTGCTCCACACCTTCAAAAGTCCCTTTCCTGGCTGTACTTACAGCTGTTACTCCATCCTTTTAGCTTACAACACGTTACACCACCGCAAAGCCTACTCTACATATCTAACGATGGCAGCCGGCACTTCCACCCCCAAACAAATTCTGAAGAAGGAGGTGTCACAGAGAGAATACGAGTTCCTCCAAGAATGGGCTCCCGACACTGTGAATGACTACACTCCCATTAAGCCTGGCAATCCGGCAGATAGGATGCCCAAGCATCAGACGATGCCGAGCCAGCCACCTCTCCAGAGCCCCCGACGGGCCAAACCTCGCTTGCCTCTCTACGAGGAATGGAAGACCCAACCACTGAACGGAGAAACGTTGAATGAGGCCGCAAAAGCCACAGGTGCGCCTGTGAGTATGGAGAATAAAACCAATGGGATCATCCCTCCTGCTCCTACCACAAACGTCAGGGTTAATGGCAGGCATCCTGGCAATTCGTTGGACACAAGAAACCGCCACCAGGAGCCAGCCAAGAGTAATTCTGTTCCACATAGTAAGTGTCAGGTCTATTTATGATATCTCGATATAGTAACGATCTCGAACCTCTCGCATTCTGAATAGATCATTATGCAAAGCCCACTGCGAGCGCTAACAACCGAGTTATCGCAACCCCTCTCTCTAGTGTGGCATCCAAGCCGGGAGTGCCCAGACCGGGAGCATACAAGCCTGTGGAGCAAAGCAACAAGAGGGTCATGGTGAACCAACGCCGACCACCTCCACCGCCTTATGTATATACTGCGCCGAATCGCAAACAATTCCGAAATGACGACTTGATCAGATGGTCCGACGGAATTAAGACTCTCGGCGGTGCGATGGCCTACTTCCAGCCGAACTTTATTCAAGACCCATGGAAGGACATGAAGCCAGTTCTGACGAAGTTCCTTGAGCGGTACTGGTAAGACTCCCTTCCAATGTTTGTTCGAAGGGTTCCTTGTTGTGACACATTTCTGATATGGGTATGTATGAATATAGATCGAAAACGGGAGACTCTTGAGATGGGGGAAGAGGGATGATCAAATTTGAGTTTGAAATGGTATCTACGGCGCTGTGTCGTGGTTACATGATGTCGTGCGGTGGTTAAGTGATGTACTGTGGGGATGCCGGCGACATTCGCAGTGTAGATGAGCAGTTCATCACTGGGAGAATAAGCGACGCTTGCTGGACACGGACGCTTCGAGGTTCCCTAGCAACTAATGGTTTCATTTCTTAGAATAAAAACGGTTAGCAAATGATTAGCCCCTAAGGCACATAATGGAAACGAGGACAATCAGTTTATTCAAAGGTTCAGGGGAGCGTCCCGTAGACGTTAATGGGTGTGCCAAATGGCCCCACCACTTCTATATACATATTATCAGTGACATCTATAGTTAACCATAGTAGTTATATGGACTGAAAGTCAGAGGGACAGTTCAGATCCAAATATAGTACACCCCTCAGCCCCGTGCCCCTGACCAAGCGAGCCAGGAAAATGAAACATGCTGTACCGACCACCCGGGCAAAGTCAAACAACACTCCCATCTCGAGAACAGAAAATAAGAAAACAACGATGAAGCTCAAATAAATGTCACACTCATGCAATATTTTAGAAAAAGAAAAATCGTGAGCATCTGTTTAGAGATTTAGGCATGATTAATCTGCCAATAATGTGTTCCTTCCTTTTCCCTCCAAATTTCAATAGTAGTCACGACCTAAACCGGCAGGCACGGCCTTGGTCTCTGATGGATCGACTTCTCCTTTGTCGCAAATTGACGATGGTCTACTTCGGGGTAGATACTTACTTCCCACTCCCTCTCCCTCTCCCTGCCACTCTTTCTCCCATTTCAATTGAAATGCTCGTGCTCATGCACTATCATGGAGCTAATCGATCTACTTCTGTGTTGTTCATCAAGGACTAGTACATTGTTGGTTGGTATAGCCTTCATTTTACTTATTACTGGGCTTTATTCCACCTAGCCAGGGGATGATGTACTCCACATCGCGGTAATAAAATCTCCCTCATCTTGTGCCTCTTGTGATTCCTTACTGCAAGTATTTTCACTAACTGTCAAGTTGAAGGGCTAAAAATGAGGTGGCCCTTCGAGGAAACGCTACAAGCTAATATCTTATAATTCATCGTCTAGAGCCACCAACCAGTCACTCATCTCACACCTTTCAACACAACTATTGCCCAGTCTGATTACTGCCAACAACTTCACTTTGTGCACTGGAGGCTTTGGTACATGATCTAGCTACTTTGACAACCATCTTTTCCGGCCATGGGCTGTGCGATGATAGGCGCTTCGACGTCTAGAGAGCACCGACTACAGCCCGTAGAAGGACATGCATTACCCGCCTTAAAGCGGCAACCAGGAGCGTCCTAGCCATGGGGCGGAGCGGAACAGGCGGTAGAGCCATGTCCGCTGGCGGAGTGGAGTCAGCAGACGGTTCCAGTTCCGCTCATTCGAGGTGGGGGTACCGGAGGACGTCGACGACCGGAAATGACGACAAAGGTTCCCCCACCCTCAAGTCAACGCGTACGTACTGCGAGATCTGGCTGTCCCAGACCCAGTTCTTCCAAGAGGTATACGAGGTATAGAATGTATCGCAGAGATTATCGCTCGTGAGACCCGGGGGAATCCCTTGGAATGCACTGCAGGATACCTCAGAGGACCGTGCCACACTCCCCTCACAAGCCCATCCCGCTTCAAGGGTGATTTAATGTGATTCGGGTGGGCACATGACCCAGCCCCTGCTCGTCACAAGTCTGATTGTGACTCCCTATTCACCTGGCTGCTCTAGGCTGATGCACGGTGGGCCGCATTCCTGGCACGTGTATGTTACCTTATGGCTATGCTCTCGCCCGCCACCGCAAGCGCGACTACTACTCTTGATGTTTTCAAAGAAACAGTGTCCGAATACCAAAGTTATATTCCGCCAGATTCAGCATACTATGGTAGAGTGACGCGTTCACCCAAGAAGACGGCGCCCGAGGAAAAAGCAAAGACATGTACCATCCCAAAATCCCTTCAGTCGCGAGATACCGCAAAAAGATCAAGTCGCCTATCAAAACCTCACGCCGGATCCGAACCCAGAAGACCAATTTTACCCTATACAAAACCATTATCGTCGTTGCCAAATAGAGGTATGCCTCCGAAAATCTGGACCGATGTGAAACCGGACCAATGGGCCAATATGGGCCTTTATCTTGGGATCAGTTGTCGTCAAGAGTGTACTTCTTGGTCGCCCGTCTATACTCATCGGGAAAGTTATTCTCGGCCTTCGCCTTGAGAGCACTATGTACGTGATCTATTAGTATTTAGAGTATTTGGATTCTGGAGGCTTCGGGCGTCATGCAGCAACTGCTGCAGCAACTGCGCTGCCAAGAAATATGTTGACAGCGGAGCGCAGCGGGCGCCTGTGCTCCCCGCCGGCGGAGCGGAGTCCATCCACAGTCGTATATGTGATACAGGAGGGCTCTTGAGGAAACTTTAGGACTCACTTCACACGCTTCTGGGTCCATTCCAAGTCACGCTTGGTCTCGCGAGCAACTTTGATGCCGTCGTTGAAAGTGGCCCGGACTCCTTTTAGACGACGTTGCGCCAGGGCTTGCAATTCCAAAAGCTCTCGCTGTTTGGCATTCAGTTGGCCGGAACTGATTCATGCGTTGTCAGCTTGGTTCCCTCTAGCTTCTGTTGCATGGCAAAATCTGAAAATCAAGCCCAATCCAAAGGCAGCTGGAATCCCTTGGAATCACAAATAGGATTGCTTACGTTTGTGCCTGTACTGCCAATCCCCTGTCCAAAGGTGTGGGGTCGAAGACGTCCTGCATACGGTCGTTGAGAACGTCGACAACATCCACACCAGAATACGAGGCAGAGCTCGATTCATAATCGCCACCAATGCTGCCAGAGCTGTAGCTGAAACCTGCAGAGGTGCGGCTTCCTGCAGTAGTGCTGGTGTCGGAGATATCTGGAGGAGACCCAGCGACTCTGGTGATAGGATAGAGGCTGGCAGGAGCAGGAGCTTTAGAGGGAACATTGATGGGAAGAGAAGGAGACTGGTAGTGATGGGTCGCCATGATGACTCGTCTTGTTGCTTGGTTCACAACAGCGTCAGGACCAAGATAATGGAGGACGATAAGATGAAGACTCTTGAGTCACAAAGCAGAACTGAGGTCTAGATCCGAGAGGATGAAGGTATAGGAGAAGACACGAGGGCAAGATCGCGATGATTTGAATGCACGTCAAATTGACAACCGCACTTGATGAGGTAGAAGAGAAGGAAGAGGAAGAGGAAGAGGAAGAGGACGACGAAGGATGAGAAGAGGGTTTATATAGCCTTCACCGGAGAGTCTTCCCTCCGACGGGAAAGTCCATGACGAGGACAGTGACCTCAATTGAGAGGGGGGATGGGATGGGCGATTGATCCATTGGGCATTGGGCCATCCCCGGAGGTTTCCTTCCCACCCCCCCCTTTGACACTCACGTTCCCAATTCCTCCATTTCTCTCCAATCCCAACCCCCCAATTCCGCCCGTCCCTCACTTTCTGGCCGCCAATTCGCTCCTTCCTCCGAATTGACCCCGCTCTGGCTTGGAAAGCGAAATTTTAGGGGAGATCTATGAATGGCCGGAGCCTGGTCCAGGCCGTCCCATACCTCCTCCACTCAGACCCCAACCCGCGCTCCCGTGGCGATTTTTGTCGGGCATCCAGTCTGTCTCAGGTCAGATTCCCCATCCTCGGGCTGCAATGGACCATGGGGCCGCTGGAGATATAAAAGGGAGCTGTGATGGCGAGACGCCAGCTCAAGTGCTTCCGATTCTGCTCTCCAGCGGACGTGCGGAGTTACGAACATTCTCTATATATTGGGAGCTTCTGTCGAACTATCACTCTCTTACGACTCTCTTACACTCTCTTCCAGCATTCAGCGCTTGTGAGAGGCTTTTGTTGCCTAGTCTTCCATCGCTCTACCATTTTGCTCTTTCCTCCACCCTCCGAACCCCGTGGCCACCCATGTGCATCAATATCAGGAGGCTGGGTGGCTGGGAAAGCTTGTGTGCTGCAGCCTGTGATAGAAGGGTCATTCAGCAGAACGACCAACGGCGATAAGAGTTGCGTGACTACAGGATTGCCGAATCATGAGACGACCAATCGCTGTCTCTCATCAGCTATCCCACCGCTGTTTGGTCTAAATCAAGTGAATTCGCAGTTTTGGCGTTGGTTTCCGAAATTACCCTCTGCAATCAAATGCGACTCATTTCGATGGAGGTGAGAATCAGCGGGCTGGAAGCGCTTGCAAGTAAACCTCTTCGGTTAGGTTAGTATTCTGTTTCCTGTTGTGAGAAATTGGTGACGGGATTTGCAAAGCAGAAAATTGCATGCAAGGGTACTTCAACACGCGATGTATGAGAAATATAGGCTGACAAAATCACAGGATCTGCGATGTTTAAGAAAGGGCAAGATTGAGGATCAAGGGTTAGCGTTGGACACCTCTGCATATGCCGGAATCAAATTGAGAGGGGGCGAAGGAACGCAGGAAAAAAAAATAATAAAGGAAAAAGAAACGGACGAAAAGAGGGCCAGAAGGTGCGCAAAGAACCGAAGGTGGCCTTGCCGCATGCTAGCTATCTCGGCTCAGCAACCTAGAACCTCTCAAGTGGCACGGCAGGGCAGAAATACACCCCTGAAATGGAGGGAAAACCGTGTAACCGACAAGGTTCTTTCCTGGTGCCAATTTGATGACGTGCGAAAGAACGCAAGGCCATCCAAGATTCCGGTACCTGCGAGTGCTTCCCCCTTTCGCTTATCAGCGGCTGTGTGTGATGTTTCTTCAATCATAGAAATATCTTCAGTCAATGAACGAGATTACACACCTGGGGCCTCAACGGGACAAGCGCTCTAAACGCCGCCTACGTGGGCACTTCGACGGCAAATGGGGCCGAGTGGATCTGGACAATAGCACCTCGACCGGATTGCAGGGAACAGAGAGTTCATTGCGATCTTGATCCTTTCTTCCCAGAACCCTTAACGATGTTGGCTTACCCCCATGAGAAAATTACACAGGCTATTACGTGTAAGAACAGTCATGGCCTTGGAGCCCGATCCCAAAGCTGACTATAAGGGCAAGGTACAGGGAATGTCAAGTCGAGGCCGCGAGAAGGGCGCCAAATTGAAAATGGAATACCGTCAATACGGGACAAAATTCCTACGCTGACAGGTTGACGGGATGCATACAATCAATCCATTTCCATGTCTGGCTGGGTTGCTGACTTCATCGAGAAAACACCACTCAGGATCTACGCCGAGTTCACGGTGACATCCGCTGACAGGCCGTCACATCCAGTGAGAGTCGATTCCTCGATCGTCCCATGTGGGCACCATCATTGCTCTACTACCTTTGCTGCCTCACGCCATCTGGAGGTTGTCGCCTTACAATATTGACTGTGCCGTCTGCCTTTTCTCCCAAACTACCCAAGAATGCCTAAGCACAACCAAATCCAGGAGATCCGCGAGTCGATTACACTCTATGGGGAAGGCCTTTTACACTTGGCCATCAGCCCGACCGGATTAACGGGTAACACAGAGGCCCAACGCGCGAGCGGACTCTCTCACACAAGCTTTCAATCCCCAGGTTTCCTGGTCTGAATGTGCCGCAACTCATTTTTCGTTTTCGGCTTCTGATACTCTTCCGCTGAGAACGAGCTACTTGAGGATGACTGATAAGGCGCTTTTCACACCATGCGATTACCGGCTCGAATCAACCTACACCGTTCGACCTGGCACCCTGAGCTTATGCAACCGGCTGCTCGACATTTCTCTTCGCTGCATAGGCTTTATTGGGTTAAAGACTAGGATGTCTTGGATGCAGACCGGGTCATGGCCCGCTTGGATCGTGAGACGACTGTCCCCGCAGCGCCCACAGCGCCCAACAACCGATGCAGATGAGGTCCGTGTTAGGCCTCTGAGGAACGAAAGAATGTCTCCGGGAGTGGAGGGTATCAAGACCCTCCGTTGACATCGACCCAACGACGGCGGGTGCATTGCGGATGGGGGGAAATGAAAGGAATGCAGCGGCTGTGGGGTTGTGAGGGCCTTCATTCGCCTATCGTCCGTTTGCTCGCATCGTCCCTCACCGCCACATCAGTGCTCCCCTTCAGTTGGTTCCTTTTTCTTCCATTCGGCCATCATGACGCTGACTGCTCCCTACGTCTGGAGTAGAAGTTCCTCCGAGCCCGCCAGTCATTGGGCCTTCTCTTATCCTCTGTTTGGCTTTTCCAGAACATCGCGAGCGGGGTGCTACTAAATTGGTTGTCCGATTCCAGCCAACGACATGCATGCACTATTTCTTCAAGTCTGGGGACCCGCGATTGCTATGTCCAGTCTACGCAACTAATCGATCTTGCGATCATCGCGGCTCATTCCTGACTTTATTGGAACGCCCGATCCCTTAGTCGCCAGATCCCAGCCACGACGGCAACCTAGGTGAGATTCATATACAGAAATCCCAGCCAGCTCTCACCATGCCAAAGCTCTTTGGAGCAACGTAACCTCTTGTGGCGGGCTGGTTTTCTCCTTCGGTATACCGCTGTGCAACCTCTGATGCCTCTGCATCCTCAGCATCTTTTCTGTATCATGTTCTGCCTTTCACACTCCTGTTCTTCCCTGCGACTCCCACTTTCTTCCCCTGTGTCTTCTGCATATGCCCGTCTAGATGACTGACTCACAGGACGCGTATCCGCCGCAGGTGGCCAGTAAGGTTGCTAAACGGATGGTTTCCGCCCAACGCAAGTGTTCCAGTCTCGATGTGAATGGTCGTCGGATCATAAGACAGACCTGAAAAAGAAAAAAAAGAACGACAATTACAGGTTATGACGACCATTTAGGCTCTAGTATACCAGCACCACGCCTTCAGATCAAGCAAGGAAATGCCATTCACAGATAGTTCCGAGTCTCTATTCGGCACGTATCCGAGACATCTGAAGACCAAACGAGCATTCTGTCTGTGACCTTCATTACTATTGCTACCTTCAAGGCGAGCAATCAGCCATCGTCCGTCATCTGAAGTCTCAACGAAGGTTACACAAGGGAGGCAAGGAAGTGAAAGGGCGCCATTAACAAGCCGTATGGAGTATGGAGCGAGCGCATGACTCCAAACAGGTAGGAAGAGATGTTCAGATTTCTCCCGACAAGTAGAATGGTAGGTAGGTAGGTAGGTAGGTAGTAGACACTAAGCGCGATATCATAATAGCTTCAGATCAGAACAGACAGATAAAGCAAGATGCAGTCCATACATAGCACATGATAACCGTAATAAGCAAGCGTAACTCACCACGTTCTATAGTCTACAGTATCTTACGGAACTGTTCTCCCAAATCCAAGCTACCTACCTACTATATTCTTCCTAGTCCGTCCTCCTCTGCGGACCGAACCAGTGGACATTATCCATTCGGTACTTCTTCACTTAGTGGTTACCCAACCCAGCATGCGGAACATCTTCTCCGGTCGGCGGCAGCACCACCACTACTAGATATTATCCAGCCAGCTCATTTACTTCCCTAGTTTATAGGTTCTCCTACTAAGTATTTACCTACTCACTTCCGACTCCATCTCAAAAAGTATGAAAGTATAGATGAATATGAAATCAAAAATATAAATATAATATTGATAGTAATACAAATATTGAAAGTAAATATCATCACTATCATCCAAATACTTATGCAGCAGTTACCCCAAATCATACTCCGTCCCAGGGGTGGTAGGTAAAGTGATAAGTAACAACTGAAACAATCGAAGAGAGAAGCGAAAAGAATAGTATGCAAGCCCACCGTAGTAACTTATTGACCCCAGGGCCAGATCATTCCCGGAATGCATTAATATTGAGGATAAAAAAGAAGCAACAAAAACACAGATATTATGAACTAGCCCGGCTAGAGTAGGTCACTCAGTCACTAGTATGGATATAATTGATAAATAATAATGATGATGGATATAATCTACTCGGGAACGATAGGGTAGGTGGATAAGGTGGTTGGAAGAGAGGGAGGGGGGTGTGAGGATAGAGGATACCCCGAGGACAAAAGCACGGACGGGGCCATTGGCAAAAGAAGGGAGAAGAGAAATTGATATATAAGAAAAGAGAACAACGCTCTGTTATCTGCAAATACAATTCCAGAAAGTTAAATGTCGTGCTCATAAAGCTGGTATCGGGGAAAGCCGCGTGAGGGAGGCATGGCTTCACAGGGAGAAAGACGACTGAGAACTGCTGAACAAATCCGAGAACTGACGCCATATAAAACGAGGTCGAAGAGTCCACAAGAACAACAAGAACCCTGAGATCCCGGCCCCGTAATGCTGAAAGGTATCAATCAATCAAACTTTGAATGCCGAATGCAGATGCATAGGAGTTCCACAACCGAGAAAGAGGGAGACTCTGCAAGCGAAAACAGAAAATGAAAAAAATCATCCAGAGGCGCCTTTCCATCCGATGGCTCTAGCCAATCCAAGAGAAGAAAATGAAAATAGAAAAGATATAGTAGAAAGACCCCACCCCAAGATCGAGAAAAGCAAGACTGTGTAAAAGGTACATCATGACACTGGAGGGCCGCAAAGACGTGCTACCCCTGCAATGATCGCGGAGTTGTGGTTATCACATGAAAGAAGCCGAAGAACGCCCTGTTGGCTGTTGAGAGTATCCACAAAAATGCAGGCGGACTACATTATTATTAATCGCGGTGGTGGTCCTCACTATCGGCCCTGAGGCGGTCGCGAAGGAGAAGCAAAGGCCGATTAGGATCGAGCAGACCCATCATCATCTTGCCCAACTCATTGTGCTTGATAGGCTTGGTGACATAGTCGTTGAAGCCAGCTCGTGCAGCATCCTCAATTTGATCGGTCATTGCGTTTGCTGAGAGCGCCATGATCGGGATTTGAGGATAATGATTCTTCAACTCCCAACCGCGGATATCACGACACGTATCATACCCATTCTTAACAGGCATCTGGATATCACACTGCACAAGGGTGAGCGAGAAATTCAACTGCGCGAAGCGGGAAATCCTGCACTTACAATGATGAGCGAGTAGTATCCCGGTTCCTTCGAAAAGACCATTTCTGTACACTCTTGGCCATTTGTAGCTGTCTCCGCCATAACTTTGATCTTATCGAGGTATTTCAACATCACCTAAGATGGGTTAAAATCAGAAAGAGAGGTGCAATGGGGTGAGTAGTAATGGGCAAGGACGTACCATGCGATTCGTCTCGTCGTCCTCTACTAATAATATCCTGTAGCCTTTGTTGCCGATAACCTCCTTAACCATCTTAGACATAGTCTTGAAGTTGTTGTTGATCTCCCTAGCCATATCTTGGTTTCTATCCTTGCTCAGATCGCGTCGGTTGTCAGGATCGAAGATGGCAGAGAAGGCAGAGGGCTTGACTGGTTTTGGTACTGTGTAGACACGCCTTCCGGTGGCAGCCAGCTCTTTGATCCGGGTGTTGACTTGTCGTTTCTGGTAAAGGTCGGAAATGATGACAAGGGTTGGAGCGGTCGCGGGATCACACTCTGAGACATATTGAATCACGTCCGAAACGTCGTCCACACTGGGCAGGTTGAGAACCAAGTGAGTGAGCTTCGAGCCAGTTTCATCACTCACGTGGTCCCGCCAGTCTTCGATATCTGGAGTTGAGGTAATAGAGAATGGGACCTCAAGAGGGACCACCTGCTCGATGTGTTGCTTGATGGCTTTGCGAGTGTTGTCCAAGGGGCACAGGATAAGAATGGAGAATGCGCTTGGTAATTGTTTCGCGTCATTTGCAACACCCGACGACGGTGGCTGAGTCGAAGAGGGGGATTCCTGCTCTTGGGATACTGGCTCGGTCGCTGGACGTGAGCTGTCACCACTTGGAGTCACGGGTTCCGTTCCGGCCGCAGCGGAGGCATCGATCTTAGTTAGAGGGTCTACCGTGCTAAGATCAGGCGTTGGAAGGGCAGAGGAAAGTGACGACCGCTCGGAGAAACTGGTTGTTGTCAAACGGAGGGGGGTTTCTGGGTTGGCTTGTGTTTTCGAGAGGGATGACTCGAGGGCAGAAGACAGTTCGGCTTGATCTGGCGTCTTATTATTGAGCGTATCTTTCGTGAAAAGTAGTTTGTGCAAGGGGTTAAGCTTGGGCTGCGCTCCGAGCATTTCAGAGGCACCCTGTGCTTGTCGAAGGGTCCGGGATTCTTCGGGCGTCGGTGGTGGGGGGGCATCGACTTTGACATGGAAGGAGAACTTTGCGCCTTGGCCTTCCTTGCTGCTTGGAGTCAATTTTCCGCCATGCATCTCAACAAGCTGCTTGGATAAAAACAGTCCCAACCCACTACCCGCATGTTGCTGCGATCCATTCTGCCCAAGCTGACTGAATCGTTGCATCAACCGTTCCGCATCCCTCGCGCTGAAGCCTTTGCCCGTATCCACGACATCGAAGTTCAATAAGAGTTCAGTCTTCTTGATTTGTGCTGAGGCATCGTGGTAAATGGAGCAGCAGATGTGAATCTCCCCCTGCGCAGTGAACTTGACTGCATTACCGACAAGGTTGATGAGCACCTGTCGGATTCGGAATCTGTCTCCTATGACCATCGGCGGGACATCCACATCCATCAAGTAGTTGATCTCGAGGCCCTTGTCGATGGCCCTAGACGAAACAGTGTCGATCACATCTTCAATCACAGATCGTACATGGAACCACGAGTTGACTAGCGACATTTTACCAGCTTCCACTCTCGAAACATCCAGAATATTGTCGACTAGCTCACGTAGGTTGGTCGAGCTATTCTGGATGGTATCAAGCATTCTCCTCTGATCAGTGTCCAACTGGGTATCAAGAATGAAAGGAATGGTGCCAAGGATGCCGTTTAGTGGAGTCCGGATTTCATGCGACATATTGCTAAAGAACTTCGTCTTGGACTCCATCTGGTTGTTAAGTTGTTGCATGGCTTTGTTCAGTTCCCGCTCTAAATTCTTGCGGTCGTTGATATCCGTGCACGTTCCGTACCAGGACGCTTCGCCACTGCCAAAACTACTTGTCTCGACACAGACCAGACGAACAAGGTGCCATCGGAAATCACCCCCTTTCGAACGCAGTCGTAGTTCTGTCGAGTAGAAGACGCGACCATTCTCATCTCTCTGCACAGACGCAACTCCACGTTTGACAAGCTCTTCCAGTGCGGGTGTGACGCCCTGACCCAGATGCTTCTCCTGAGAATTCTTGGCGGCCGTCGTCTCCGCAGGCGCTTCACCTGCGTCAATGGCGCCCCCAGTTTTCTGTGATTCATGGAGGTAAAGGGAAAGTAAGCCACACTTCTCTAGATCATCATGATGAACATGCTTTGCAAAGCCAAAGTTAAGCGCATCTTCAAGCTTCTGTCCAGTGTACAGATGCCATTGCTCATTCACGAATATAAGGCCCCGGTATTCTGTCGCTTCGAAGACGATCTGCGGAATAGAATTGGAGAATGCTCGATACTTGGCATCAGTGGCAAATTTCTCTCTTTCCTGTGCTGCTTTCAGCTCCGCAATATGCTGTTCATGGATATCAAGGAATGACCCGATCCAATATAGCACCTCTCCTGTGGAAGACAGTAGCGGATTTGCCCGGAAGATGAACCAACGATAAGCCGACTCATCGTTGAAACGCTTTACGCGTACACGTTCGGTGATTTGAGACCCCGTACGCAAAGCATTTGCCCATTCCTGAGATACGTGGTCGCGCTCGCTACTGTGGATGTTCTGCCAGGGATCCCTTAGCTTCTGTTCCTGGGGTTGACTCCGCCTGTAAGCATCGAATTTCGAATTAGTCCAGATAACCTCGCCACTTTGAGGCTTTGCAAGGAATAGATGCAGGGGAACTGAGTTCAACATGAGCTGAGCCACAGTGTCGGTGAACGGACGCGGTAGTTCGCGTTGTAATTGAGCGTAGAATGAATTTGTTGATGGGTGCCGGGAAGTTTGCGTCGGTGATATAACTGGAGGCGCCTTAATTTCTTGTGGCGGTGATATTATTGCCGGGCTTTGGTCCTGCGAGGCAACCTCCTCCTCCGAGGGCTTCCCAAGGAACTTGCCGGGGGATGTAGGAGTTGAGGCTGCAACGTTTTGTTTGACCTTCGCCAGCCTAATGCGCTGCTGGAATTGCTTCGACTGCTGAACGTTGAAATAGCTGTCCACGCCATCATTGCTGAGCCGTGCGGCCACACCGGGTGATTCGGAGAGACTCACAGTTGTCCCTGCCCCAATATTGCTCAATTCGAATCCAGGCGTACCAAGTCCAGATACTGCAGGGCTAAATTTGGCCGAATTTGATCTTTCTTCGGGACTAGAAAGACTGGCGCGGGCTGAAAGCGATCCATCATCCGCTATCGTGTAGTTTACATGGCCGCTGAGTCCAGCGACGAGCTCCAACTCGCTACTTTCATCGGAGAATGTTCCACCAAGGCCAAGAAGATGTCCGTAGCGCGGAACCTCGAGTCGGGAAGTGACTTGGCGCTCAAGCTGACTGTATTGTTGAGCCAAGCAAAAGGAAGTGGTTAGATGGGGCATGAGGTAGGCCAAAGACTTCCTCAGGTTGGAGGGATAAGGCATTATTGAGGAGAGAATGGAAATCACTGCAACGGGAAATCGTAACGTAGACGGTGATGTTTGTTTAGAGCGGCCGGCGTGCAAAAGTGGAATATGGACCACTGACTTGGCCAAGTCGACACCTATGGCTTCCAAGGGCTTGAGGTTGGAATAATCATGAGGCGGGGGATGCTTCGCAAATGCCTCCTCGTCGACAGCGTGACTGACGAAAAAAGGATTTTGCTCCGCATGAGCACGGGGCGCAGGCGAAGGAGCTGGCGACTGCGACCACGGCGAAGGAGGTATTTGCTCGTACTCGTCGAAGAATTCCATAGACGACGTACGATGTGCTTGCAAGCCTGACGCAGCGGGATTAGAAGTCGATCTAGCGCGGGCTGCGTATGGTGCCTGATTATTGGAGGGCTCGGCGGTCGGCGTGACTTGAATTTTGTCCTCGGGGGTCTCACAGGGCGTCTGATCATGTGTCAAGCCCTGGGAGTATTCACGGGTCAGAACAACGGGGTCGGTGCGGCCAAAAAGCTTAACAACTCCTGTCCGCTTGATAAGCGGGTCTGCTTCTACTTCCAACGGCCTAGGTATCGGGAAGACAGCTTGTCGAGGGTTGTCCTGTGTATAATGAGGTGGCCCGGATGACGGCTCGGTTTCTGGAGCGGCGGGGTTCTCGGCGAGGGTAGATGTGCGTTTTAGCTCTGGTCTGAGCGAAGACTTTGGTTGTAGGCGCGGAATTTCCGAGTCCTGAACAGTGGAGATCTTCCTTTCCTTGCCAAACCCGGCGAAGGAGTGTCGCGATAGAAGCGAGGGTCGCTTTGGAGATTTCGAAGCGCTTGTTCCGTTGGCAAGCGCTTCCCTAAGAAACAGTTCCTTCTTTCGCTCCGGGTCTTCATTCTCTTTCGGGATATTATCGCGGGGTGTGCTCGTCTCATCGTGCAGATGCCGTACCTGCGACTCCGTCTCGATGTTCTGATCAAAAACCGCTTTCTGGCCCCATGGGACATTTTCTAGGTCAGTCGCATCGCCAGGTACGGCAAGCGACACTCTCTCAGCACCATAATGGGCTTGCAGAATATGAACCACATTCGCCCACCATGCGTCTAAACCCGGATCTGCGTTCAGTTGCAACGTAAGATCATACAAATTTGGACTGGGATAGTTCGGATCCTCGATCACGTTCTTGTGTACCGCTGGTAGGAAAAAGCTCTGCAAGTGCGGTGTATCTGCCCCTGTCAGCTGCTGCTCCTCCGAAAGTTGCGATGGCACCATGTGCGTCTTCAGTTTCTCAGCCGGCAGTGTCAACTTGAAAGGGCTATGGTTGAGTGTGGAGCTCTGTGTCGGCCGCGTCAAAGGTTGCGTCTGCATTCTCGGGAACGGATAGGACGGGGTTTGGCCGGTGAGGTTGTCGGGGGTAGAATCCATAGCCCGGATGGTCCCACCAGACCCGGTAGAATCGGAGAAGGAAGCTGAGGGCATCGCTCCTGTGGACGAGGCGACTTTGGGGAAGGATACATTGAGGGGTCTTTTCCTTGTCGACCCAGGGGAATTTGAGGTGACAGGATCGGGTTGCGATGGAGGGGCTTCGCGATTAGCCGAAGAAGTCTGGTTCTGTGATTGTTGCATCTGTTGATAGACGAGCAACTCTTCCATCTGCCTCCGGAGCTCTTTAAGGGTTTGCAGGCTTCGTCCCTGGTCCTCTGGGTACTTCCCCGCTTCGGAACTGTCTTTCTTCGCAGGCGTTGAGGTATGACATGCGTCCGTAGTCTGCTCAATCGGAATAGAAGAATAAGCGTTAGCATTCCACGTGTTATTCTCCGTGATCGCGTCTCCATCGATTGCAAATCCAGTGCTGTGAACAGGAAGAAAGCCAGTTGATTGGGAGGAGGTTCGACGGAGGGGATGGGATGCGGCGACAGGCGAAGGGGCCTCGGCCGGCGATGGAAGCGGAGGTGTCCTCATGCTGCGAACTTCCCCCATCCTATACTCCCTCCACCGCCGGTCAGACAATCAATTCTCCTGGGTGAATCCAACTCCGCAGGAGCCAACCGGAGCACTCATCTCTCGGACAAACTGGTCCGCGATCAGGGTAAATATTCGTAATCGAAGAGAGCAGGGGGAGACGACACACGAGCGTAGAAAAGGGGAGGGAGGGGGAAAAAGGTGAGAGAAGAGAAGTGATTGTTGGAATGTAAGTGTGCAAGTATGATAAGAAGGCAGAAGGGGAAAAAAGGAAAAATGGGTAACGAAAAAATACAGTTGAAAAGAAAGTAACAAAAAAGGGGGGGTAGTTTGGCTGGGGTGTAACGAAAAATAAAAAAATAAAAATAAAAAATCAAAGAATGGCCAAAGGGGGGCTGTATTTTCGAACACGGAAAAAAAAAAAGAAATGAAAAAGAAAATTAAGACCCGAAGAGCGGAGGGAGGCAGAAATAAAAGACCAGGTGATATTAAACGGCCTTGAGAGATGGAACTACTTTGTGGAGAGGGGAATATAAAAAGGGAAAGGCACGAGAAGAGGGAGGGAAAGAAATGTGTAAAAGGGAAAAAGGATTTAGGTAGGAAAAGGGTTGTTTGGAGGACAGGGTGGTGACTAAAGCGGTGTATAGCGGGAGTGCAGGGAAAAGAACCAGGAGGAGCAGGAGGAAGAGGTCAAGAGGAGAGAAGGGTAAGTTGGTTTGTGAGGAACGGGATTGCGAGGAAGGTTCGACTGATCTGACCTTTTTCCTAGAAGCACTGGAGCAGGTTTTGCTATTGACCCAGCAGATCGACGATGTGTGCTGAAGGGTGGAAATGGTCCGTCTCCGGGGGTGTTCAGCCTATGACGTAGGCAAGCCCTGGGGGGGTGTCGGTTTGCTCAAACCCGCGGTAACCTACTACTTAGCGAAGATGTCGCCCGGCCTGGGGATTCAAGTTGGAAAAGAGGGGTAGAGGGGAGGACGAAAAAGGGTGGATGGAGGGAACGAAGATGGGTGAGAAGAAAGAGAGGGACTGTGTCTGGCTGTTCTGCCGGACAAGAGAAATCGTCAGGCAATAAATGAGAGTGTGCGCGAGGGAGTTGGGAGGGAAAGGATGAGCAAAATTGGAAAGGCCGGAAGGGAAGTAGAATAGTCCGCTATGGAGGAGGGCGATATTATTATGGTCACTCCGATGGAGAGGGAGAGGATGGAGAAGAGAGCGAGAAAGACAAGAGTGTAAGAGGGAGGTAGGTGGATGGATGGGTTCGATTCGATGGAAAGGATGGAGGGATGGGGGAAAGCCTGGGAAAGGAAACGACTGGCGGATTACTGGCTGACTGACTACTGACTGGCTGGCTGGCTGGCGGATTCCCAAGTCACAGTCACCCGAATTTCATCAGAGCGATTTCCTCGAGAGGGGATGAGAGCCTACCAAACGGCCTTCCCCCAAAGTACACTACTTACTAACGAAACTAACTACCAAAATCAATCCTACTAAACCCAAGTATTGACACCTACCGGCACTAACCGTTAATTAGTCTGGTAACCTAAGGGGGTAAGAAAGAAAAATAAAAAAAAAAAAAAAAAAAAAAAAAAAGGAAAGACAATACTTCAATACAACCACCACTCAGCATCCTGATGCGTGAGTTTGCGATACCGCCACATCCCTGCTGATTATTGCCGGCACAATTCTGGGGTTGCCGAAATGGGCCACCCTATATCACATGATATCCTGGATATAGACTAGTGCCAGGGCATTTTCGACCTCATTGCGTGCCACCACCACCAGATCACTGCGATGGATTTACCCACAGGGCTGTCAAAGACACTATGGGAACATTTAGCCAGCCATTAGAATTGTCCCAACCTTTCAATCAACTTTCAGCCTCATATCCGCCTCCTAGGGGAGTGTCGCCTCATCCGCATATGTAAGGATGTGTTACCGCCTTCTCAGATGACGTAGCGCAGCCTTGGGGGAACCTCGTCCGAATTTCAAGTTCTGATGCTGTGTCTAAGACCAACAGCATGCTGTTCGCCTTGTGAACTAGAAGGTGTATCCGCAGAAATCACAGTGTATGGATATCGACTTGCATAGCCGATATCCTGCGTGTCCGGTGTCCAAGGGGTGAAGCACTCGTGACTGGAGTGTACACTTACCACCGAAGGCACTAGGTCTGTGAGTATGATGAGAATTGAGAATATACAACCGAAAGTGCCAAGTAACTGGCAGACGCTAAACAATTGTCACTTGTTCATGCAGGATGCCTAGTAAGTAGAACCAGCATGTTCCTCGACCTCGTTGAATTGTCTGCCCCAGTAGCAGTGACCCGTAGAAACAAATCGATTTTGCCTTTTTCAAGCTAGTAATATAAACGATGGTTGTGTCTAGCTGTTGGCCTTCATAGCCGCTCTATTAAAATTCCTTCATATGCCAATGCGTAATGTCAATATTACTGCTATCGATAATGGTCTAGCAAAAGGTACAGACTGTTTGAACAACACTCTAGCCGAGAGATTCGTCGCCTTATTGCTATGCTAGTCCAAACACAGTATAGCGGGGAAGGCTGCACCACAAGGCGGAAAAACCACGGGTTCTCAATAAACACCACGCACAGATGTTCTTTTCTCCGTCACCATCCAGAGTTACTCCGTAATTGGGGAGCACCCAGGGGCAGCGGAGAAAAAGGTGGCCACATACATCATCATCAGTGGCTCAAGGGTGAAAGCAGAAAATTCAAAAATAGAAAGCTCCAAAAGTCAACACCCTTGTGGACGACAGAACCCCAAACTGACAAAACAGCCAGCCTCGCTAGGGGGAGTGTGTTCGATGGCACGGTCGGGGAGCCGAGAGACTATGAATGGTGTCGAAGCATGGGAATGTTCGCCGTTAGGGACCTATTTATGGACACCCCTTACGATCATGGTGATGATAGGCGCTCCGGCTCGCATCAGATGACGACATCGGGCGTTCTGTCTACGGGTAGGACCATGGGTACGGAGCCTGACTAGGTACTATTTTACATTAGCTCTGCAATCCTGTACCCCATACATATTCCGGGTGGGTAGCCAGCTGTGATTGGAGCAACATCATCCTTGTCCATCCATGGATATTCGAATCGGGAGAGGCTGGTTCTCTTCTCGGATACCCATCCATGTCACCACTTCAACCACCACTAATCCCCCTAACTAATAAAAATAGTTAATTCGGTTATCGGTAGTGTGGTCAGATATGCCGCATGCCTGACGATGCCATCCCGGAACCATTTCTCTCCTAACGGATTTCGTACAGGAGTCAGGCGATTCAATCTTTCTAATTGAAATACTCCATATATGAGGACAGCTTTTAAGGTTTGCAAACTCGTCACCTACCCTTTTTAGCCGGCTTAGGTGCTACGTACTTGTGTCACGTCTCCTGGCTTTTATTCTGGAAAGTGATTAAGAGCCACGCTACCTGCAAACCTTGTACAATATGAGCATTCTTACTGAACTCTATCTAGTCTGTCCACTCACATTATAAATTGTCCATCGGTCTGTTTCCTTGCACTTCTATGGTCTATGAATGGTTTACGAATACGTCACACATGACCGGATGAGCTAAGTTAGGAGTCGCCTCATATGATTCGTTGAGTTATGCGCTACGCCCAGTTCATTAGATGAGAGAAGTCACAGTGGAAGGGAACCATAGCGCCTATGAATGAGAAATATCAAGGTAATCTGTCACCGCCAAGCACCATCCCCGTTAGCTAGTGGAGAGCGACCAACAGATGATTAATAGGAGGTCGATCCATATCATAGGCTAGGATATCCACTAAAGTCTACTGAATCAGTATATACAGATGAATAGTGCCAATTTATCATTATTGATAGTATCATGATGGTACGCAGGTGTTGCTAGATCAGCGAAGTCGACTATAATATGACATTTCAGGTTTGCAGAAAATTCATGATCACTACTACAGGGGCAAGCAGACATCGGTGTCTATCGCATTTTGAAATAACCATGCCCACTACAACTGTCCTAAAAACCCAACCAAATACTTTGATACTGCTTGATCATTCTATTAGCCGTTTATAAACTCATTGATAGACCGACCTTGACTGGACTGGCCTGACCGTGTAATCTCAACTCGAATCTTGCTTTAGGTTCAATTATATTGTGACCTGAAAATAGAGCTACTGTGTACGTACTCACATCCATATTAAGCAGCGTATGTCTTACCCATTGACTGTTCTAATTGGGCCAGTTATCAAAGGATCCGATGATCAGGCATGCAGATTTTTCCATCTGACCGACGTGTCTTCCGTAGACGC